CATTCAGTATGAACAGGGACACCAGCTGGACAATGAAGTACGTTGAATCTGATTTATGTTCGACATTACTCGTAACGTGTTTGGGACTAAACAAATCCATAACCAGTTGATCCATAATGTCATTCCCTTCATATGACATTACATGTATATCATTGTCGATATATATTTATTATCCATACACCAATCCGCCAAATCTCTTTCCCTTTGCAGTCCCCATCTATCTATCTATCCATCAATCTATCTATCCATCCACCCATCCATCCATCCATCCATGCATCCATCTATCCATCTTTCTAACTAAGCTATTCTTCCATCTTGGGAGGTGGGTTAGCCTAGTTGTGTTAGTATTCGATCTTTTCGCCAAAGGTCCGGGTTCGATTCCCCACGTGGGTACAATATCGGAAGACCAATGTATCTAACAAGATTAACCATCCACATATCCAGTGCAATGTCGATAATTTTAGGACCTGTGAATAATCACTGCTGCGACTTATTTGACTCACTGCGTTGACTTTACCCTTTGTAAACTTCAAATTAAGTGTTCAAAATAATTGGCTGATAATCGTGACCTGTTGTGACGCCACATGACGTGATAATCATGTGGTGACGCCACAATATAACTATGTATGTACCGAAGGCTTGGTTAACCTTTGCGCATCAAAATGCATCACCTCAAAATACTTTCTACTCTCAATCCCAACATTTGTTTCATGGACCGTCCACAAACAAATCCGGCTATCAAACATGATGTTACGGTAACGGAAGGTAACTCCATACCATGATAGCCAGTCCTTTGAAGTTCACTAAACCAGCGTTAAAATACCTGCTGTCGGGGCCTTTGATCTTGGAACTGAAAAATATGCATTATCAATTCAAAAGTACCTCAAAGACAGTTTGGTGTACGCAACGGAACGATACCCTTTGGTATTTGAAATTTCTTCGACGTATTTACAGTTTCATATTTCTGCTATTTCTAACTATTCAAAGTTTCAGCTAGATAGCTGAGGCTCCGCCCAGGTTTCGAAATTCGTTAGTTTAAATAGTCTGAAGTGCGTCAAAAACCCAGTCGTATGTTATCAGGTGTCCCGACCTAACAGTTTTAATTTGACCGCCTGGACGTAATCACACAACACATTTGGTGCAGGCCATAGTGTCCATTTTTTGCTAGCCAGTCTTGCTAGCTGTGCCTCAAAGTTACTAACCCACAAAATAATTCACTAGCAAGAAATTTAATCATTAAGCTGCTAATATGATGAACATGTTTATCAGGCCATAATCTTGCATGATTTAAAAGTGTATTATAACTTAACAAGTCGGAGAGAGTGATATATTTACAAATAGATGACCCCATGAAAATTCACCAGCCAGTCGTGCCAGTGACTGTGGAGATTTACTGGCCCAACTGGACTTTTAACAGCCACGGGCTAGCGGACTAGTGGCTATTTCGCACACTGGGTGCAAGCTTTACACACACACCAGTGCAACACCCTACTCCAACAAACTAATTTGGATATCACGTGAGTATACCATATCCAACCCCACCCCCATCTCTAGCGGTCCGTCCGTGCTATGCAACTATTGTAAACAAAAGCGAAATACGCGAATCAAATGTCAACCATTTCGTGACGTATGTTTATGTCTCTCCCCTTCACTCACTCACTCACTTACTCACTCTGCCGCCACATAGCTGGAATGTTGCTGAGTGCGGCGTAAAACTATACTCACTAAAACTCACACTCACTAACTCACCCACTCATTCACTCAATCACTCACACAACCACTCAACCACCCACCCACTCACTCACTCACTCACTCGAAAGGGGGGGACCCGAACTGCAACCTAAATCCGGTCACACTCATGCGGTATGTTGCGGCGCTAATACAGACCGAATTATCTCCCTTGAACACGATTCGACACAGGTAACGTCCATTATGATGGGTCTCGCACATATACTCGTTTTCCTATTTTGCAGATCTTGTACTGATTTATTGTGCATGTATCTTTAGTATTATAACCTAGTACTGGTCAAATTCGATTAAGACCACACACATATTTTATTTACAAATAGTTCTTGGCAATGGGTTCTGTTTAATACCCCTCTGCAAAAGAACTCTCTAAATCTCTTTACATAGATTCATGATAGATATCCCTGTAAGGACATGGTTTAATATTTGGCCATAAAATCAAAATCACTCATGTTTAAATGCAGTTATCTATCCATACATGTTTGCGGCATGTTATATACAAAACAAAACAAAAAATTCAATGTCATAAATATGAAGTTCACAATGACGATATTTCCGTTATCCAGTCATAAATCTGAAGTTTACTAGGGCCAAAACCCACGTCCTGTACACTTCGAGAAGACCTGGCCCAAAGTGGCATATAGTTGTAATGGACGATTACGTGAGTGAGTGAGTTTAGTTTTACGCAGCACTCAGCAGTATTCCAGCTACGTGGCGGCGGTCTGTAAACAATCGAGTCTGGACCAGACAATCCAGTGATCAACAGCATGAGCATCGATCTGCGCAATTGGGATACGATGACATGTGTCAACCAAGTCAGCGAGCCTGACCACCCGATACCGCCCGTCACAAAGGCATGTAAAGGCGGCGGTCTGTAAATAATCGAGTCTGGGCCAGACAATCCAGTGATCAACAGCATGAGTATCGATCTGCGCAATTGGGATACGATGACATGTGTCAACCAAATCAGCGAGGCTGATCACCTGATCCCGTTAGTCGCCTCTTACAAGCATGGGTTGCTGAAGATCAGTTCTAACCCGGATCTACACAGGTCGGGCGATTAGTGAGTGAGTTTAGTTTTACACCGCACTCAGCAATATTCCAGCTCTATGACGGTGGTCTGTAAATAATCGAGTCTGGACCAGACAATCCAGTGATCAACATCACGAGCATCGATTTAAGCAATTGGTCGGACGATTAAGTGGATCGGGTGGTTAGTAACGGTGACTTGGCTGGTTATGTTATTGTACCCCGATGTGTGAGACATTGCTCGTAAATAACAGCGCCATGTTCCTTTTCACGTGCTATCTACTATAAGCAGACCCATTGTACGATTGTGACAATATCGCGAGCATCTGCTTATGAAAACTCAGTAGTGATAATACCAGATAATGAGTGAATCAGTTATATCAATCACAAAAATACAACAAAATATGAAACTACGCCCTAAACCTTTATCAGAAATTATTGATTATGGATGCTTCGGCGTATTTTTCAATTTCAATTATTATTTCCTGATTTTTCCTGCACATTACTTTTTTGTATCACTGCTTTTTAGTCAACGAAGCGTCCAGCAATAGTCCGCCTCGTATATACTAGGGGTGGGTATTACAGAGAATTTTCGTATTGCGATATATTGCGATGCAAAAGCATATATTGCGATATGTATTGCAATATATATTGCAAGAAGTTTTTTTAAACAAAAAAAAGGACTTACAATCGAGTTGATGCTTGATTTATAAGCAAAAACACAACAAAATCACTATGCTTGATTTAGCTTTAATAAAAACTTTCAGTCATGACAAAATAAAAATGTAAATAATATTTTGCACAAATGAAACGGAAATACAAATGAAACAATTTATAAAACGGAAATATCCGAAGATTTCCGAGTGTTACGAAGTTTTCCGAATGCATGTCAAAATACCGGTTTTCGATCAGCGTATGGCATTTATACGTATCGTTTTCATGTCTGAACCGATAAATACCGGTAAAACGGTTATATTGCCCTAGTATATACCATCACTGTGGTGTATAATCAATCAAGCGGCTGACACCATGAGCATCTGTGACATCAACGATTCCTTTAGCGGTTGCTGAAGACCATTCCTAACCCAGACTGAGCTGGGCTCATCACTCCCTCAAGTGTAGTTGATAATACTTACATACATACATGTATATAAATAATGCAAATCTACAACTGTGAGAGGTAGGAAACTTACTGTAATTATGCCCCAGATTCATTATCTCAATAAAAGTGTCATAAATGGTAGGTAGGAGTACATATATTGCTTTTTGAGAGCGAAGTAGGATATTGTAAAGTGTCCTAGATACATTATGATACACAATGCCATTTTAGAAAGTGGTCAAATGTAACATATGTTATATTTGGGATTACACTTTCTTTGTAAAGTACAGATTCTAGTACTTTTGGGGTTGAGTCCCATCCGGGATTCGAACCCACACCCTCAGAGTCAGGCACCTAATCGCCAGCACACAAAGTCAGACGCCTAGACCGCTCTAGACTAAGGCTTAGTCTCTGAATATATATAATTTTGATAGTAACAAACAAGCCCATTTAAATTGAAAAGGAGCCCTAGGGAGACCAGAGCTTCGTTTAGGGCTTTAGCACTACAGGGAAGGCTAGGCTGTAGGGAAAATAATGTGGTTCAGGGACTGTGAGACAGACTAAGACCGCTCAGGCACCGCGACTTCCACAAAAATGGAAGTCGGACAACTGGTAGTCTAGACTGCGGACTTTGTGTACCCCTCGGATAAGTGTTAATTGGCACGGCTCCCACGGCCGAAAGCTATGAAATACACAATCCCATTTTAGAAAGTGGTCAAATGTAACATATGTTATATTTGGGATTACACTTTGTATTATCATTTGGATGTTCATTATCAATTCCGACTGCACGCCATTAAAGATAATTATTTGGTTTAATAGCGGAAATTCTATACATGGACATGATTGCCTCTAACACGACGAATGCATGTGGTAATGATGTAAAAATAAATGTTTCCATTATATACACAATGATTCTGTTGCCATACATTATACACAACCGCAGTTCGTCCTTCAGTACCAGTTTTGCTTCCTGAATTACAAATTTCTGACATGCAATTTGATACATAAACTAACACTACCATATAAGATATAATCACTATATTTATACATCCCATTCCCAAATCCACCAAACAAACTTCTATACGATTTTTGACGCACCCGACAAAAGAGGCGTTATAGAAATGTAAAGCTGTGGTTACCCTGACCTCGTTATAACGAGTTAATCTGTGACACTGGTGTACAAAGCCCAGGGCTGCAAGCTTATGCTGTGTTTATTGTGACCAGCCCCTCAACGCTGTACGCCGTGTAAATCTGAGGTAAGTGACAACTATACCTTGATGCATTAAACACGAGTACGCAAATATACAGACTTCCAAGTAAGGACTAATATCAGATAAAACCCAAACATTTATCTGCTCTATTTTAGTGTGTAACCTTTCACTTCCCTTCGCCGAAGCTAAACTTGATTCAGTGTTCCAAACTGGGTCAGTAAAACAGGCTTAACCAGGTTTTTTGTATGTTTTTTTTCACTTGCAAAAATGATTAGGATACATTCTTTGGGATATGACAACATCAATAGAACTCTATCCATGCATATCTGAAACTAGTCCTTACAGCAACTGTACACCACCAACGGAATGCGGATCCAGAGCAGAGGGGTGGGGCTGGGTGTGTACAGGGGTGCGCAAACCCCATTTTGTCCTGAAAGTTTATTAAATGACTATAAACGCTCGTGAAAACGGGTGAAAATGTACTGTGCACCCCACTTTCTGAAAAAGCTGTATCCGCCCCTGGAGTCTAGCAGGTTTATAGGTATCCGTGTCCGTTTCGCTCCTATGCACAGCCAGTCATAACCACACAATACCATATACATGCGATCAATGTCGATAAAGACTCTGTGGTCGTCTAGTCCTTACTAGTGTCACGTGAATATAAACTATTCAACCTCTCTGAGGCTTTGTAGGTCAGGTGGTGCTTATCCGCATCCCAGCCCCCAACACACACACACCCTCCCTCGCCGCCCCCCCGTCCTCTATGTGCGTACGTTGGGTCGCGTATATAGAAGTAGTGCACGAAGTAGCAGTAGCTGTAATATGTGGTAGTTGTGGTAGTAACAGTAGTAGTAGACGAAGTGGAAGAAGTAGGAAGAGCAGTTGTTGTAGTAGGGATTCTAGTAGTAGTAGTAGCTGTAGTAGTAGTAGTAGTAGTAGTAGTAGTAGTAGTAGTAGTAGTAGTAGTAGTAGTAGTAGTAGTAGTAAAAGAAGTTGAAACAGAAGTAGTGCTAGCTAAGTTGTAGTAGTGTGATACACCTGCTGATGGGGGTAGTTTTGATACACCAGTTGATGGTGATGTTGTGATACACCTGTTGATGGACCAGGTGATGTTGTGATACGCCTGTTGTTGATGGTGATGTTGTGATACACCTGTTGATGGTGATGTTGTGATACCACCTGTTGATGGTGATGTTGTGATATACCTGTTGATGGACCAGGTGATGTTGTGATACGCCTGTTGTTGATGGTGATGTTGTGATACACCTGTTGATGGTGATGTTGTGATACACCTGTTGATGGTGATGTTGTGATATACCTGTTGATGGTGATGTTGTGATATACCTGTTGATGGACCAGGTGATGTTGTGATACGCCTGTTGTTGATGGTGATGTTGTGATACACCTGTTGATGGTGATGTTGTGATACACCTGTTGATGGTGATGTTGTGATACACCTGTTGATGGTGATGTTGTGATACACCTGTTGATGGACCAGGTGATGTTGTGATACGCCTGTTGTTGATGGTGATGTTGTGATACACCAGTTGTTGATGGTGGTGGTTGTAATTAGGGAAGGGGATAATTGTGATACGGCAAAGAAAGTGCACACATGAAAACTGGATTTGAAAATTGGAAAAATTCTCTAAACGTTACTTGGCTGAAAGAAGTCGACGAAAAGATAAACTTGAGGCCCGCGACCCATGACACCTGTGTCAAACACAGTATCAGCGAATAAAGCTTTCTTGTTTGTTTTATGTCTAGCCACCATCAGACGTGGGTTTATGCTTTGTTTAGACCAAAATTTCATATGCATCAATCTCAAAATAGAATCTTATTTGTCGGATTCAGTTCGTGCACATAATGTCAATGAATCTTCATTCATCCAGGATCACCTTCAGATCTTTCAGGTGCATTAACCATTGTCTCTTGTCGTACTCAGCATATCCATGTTACTCCGGATTTGCAACACGCGAAATATCTTATCTCACTATCTCAGTCATTCACGTACCTCGACGGTCATCCAAGACGATCCACGTGTTACGTTTGTTTATCATATCCCACCTCATACAGCAAGAACGCGGGCGGGCGAAAAATAATCATTCAAGTTTTTTTAAATAAATAGATTTTCGCAAATTGGCTGACGTACGTTGTGCCATTTTTTAAGTTAAACACACTAAGTCTTGTTACGAGTATTATATTTAATGTGTGAGTGAGTGAGTAAATCTTGCTTATTTCCTAAGGTTGCATCAGCAATTTTTCGGTTTTTCGCAGCGAAATAAATTTTGACGTGGACTTGGTCGCTAAGCTTCAGAAACGAAAATTGTAAGAAATATAGCAGAATAAAAGTAACGCTGGCCTTTCTACGAAGCAATATTTGTGCTAAGGTGATCGTGACTTCCATACTTAACATAGACTTACGATAGTAGTAGCTGAGGTAGCCTTGTACAACGGCCACTGACGTACATGGTAGGAGCGTGTTTCTATCACATGGAGGTATAGATTGTCAGACTCAGGGAACAACAAGGAAAAGTTGTCTTTGTTATTTCCACGGTAGAATGGATATTCAGGGTCGACTGGAGATACGGGTGTCCTCCCATTACGCAGACAGCCAGTTCGCAGACACCTTAAAACAACAACTTTTACGGTTCAGTGAACAAATTATCTACTACCTGTTACCTACACATTATAATGGAATAGTCCAAATAAAAACACAGGAACAAACTGAAGCTATATTATTTATTTTGAAAGATGGACGAAAAGACAGTAATTTGAATTTTATTGCTGCAGTTTATTTTCATAAACATTTCGGTTTAACCTTCTAGTCTAACGGGAGTTGGCATCATCATATTGAAAACATTAGCTTAGCTATTAGAAATTGCGACACTGTTGTATCTTATAAATCAAATAAAGACAAATGTGAACCTAAATATTATTCATATGGAATAAAGAAGTTATATGTTTTGCACACAATATTAAGATATATGATCAGTACACTTAATTACGATTTATTTTGAATAAATATGTTTCCGGCCCACCCTGCTCTACTCACTAGACAGTGGACTGTTCCATTATACTCGTAGGTGCTACCCTAATAAACCTTCTTGTTCAGTGTCTGTCAATTGGGTGTCTGTCAAATGGGTGTCTGTCAAATGGGAGATAACAGCCTAATTACGATGTGTTGCGTGATCCCATCCACGATATGCTTCAATCACCAGCTTAACATTATGTAAAGAGCTTAAGAGTCTAAACCTGATACCTGTTTACAGTTCGAGCATACTGACCTGTGGAGCATTCAACGTCATTACCGTAACGTCAGTCCTCAGATAGCACGGTAAGGGTAATCGTCAGAGACGGGGTCTAAGCCAGTGAGATATGCAGTGTTTACTCGGGTCTTTCCAAATGCAGGCAGACTAATGCACCCTCACACATTTAAAATGTCGTTGTTGTTGAACGTGTAGGGTCCATTAACATAAACGTAATTTAGATGTACGACTATAACCTCGTTGGAATTCTGGGTTAGAACGTGTCCCCAGTAACGTATGCTGGTTGTAAGGCGACCGAATGGACTGGACTGAGTGGTCAGGCGATATGACTTTTTGGTGACGTGTCATCGTTCATCCAACGGCGTAGATCGTTTTTCACTCTTCCAGCCACTAGATTTTTAATCCAGGCTTGAGTATTTACAGTCCGCTCGTCATACGGAATAGCTTTAAGTTATCACAACATTCTCAAATGTCAACCCGTAAAACATCCTTTCTCTACGTTTCCCCTCAAGAGCGATATCGAATGTTTGACTGCAGGGCCCGCTTCGTAAAGTGTGAGTGTGGCGTTAAATATCACACAAACTTCACGATAAATTTTGAAACCTTCCACCGAACTGTTTTCTTTATACATACTCTGATCTGTATTTTCTTTGAGCTGACGCTTAATGGTTTTCAAGAGGTAACCTAAACACATGAAGACATCTTTAAGACATATTGGTACTGCTTTTGTCCACATTGAATATCCTTTGTTTTTCTTGATAATGTGGTGTAATTCTATATAATCCAGTCCATTGACATGAATAATTTAACAAAATTACATTTTCAAAAGTGCCGACCAGGAAGGACAAATATGTGTCTTGTTTCAGCAACTGTGTTGTCACGGAAGGACATTAATATGTTCTTCCGTGAAGACACAGTCGCTGAAACAAAGAATTTGAAACCTCTTCTTAACCAATCAGATTCGAGCTTTATACAAATTCAAAGAAAACTCAGCATTTCATTCAACGTACTTGAAGAAAGAAATGTGTCGTATTGTTAATGGATTCAAATCTGATAGCAAACATACGGGATCAGTGTACATGGTTCATGCATCATCGATGGGAAGGATCCGGAGCGGAAGAGCAGCAGGATCTGATATCTACAACGTAGCGGATCTGTGCGTCATCGTATCCCGACTGTTTACTTTGCCAGCCAGGCCAGACTCGGTTATTCACGAGCTGACATAAGATGGCAAGCTGACATGGTACCGTCCAACTGGTTCAAGGGATGGTACTCTAGGGTATGGTTATGAAATGATGTGTTTTGACATACCATCAGCATCATGGGATTCATTCTGTCCTTATAGGGAGGTAGCCTTGTATTTTAGCATTGTCCTGTTACAGCGGAGGCCCGGATTTCCCAACAGTAACAAAGTGTGGAATGTGACAACACCATTCATCTCTTTTCACTTCTTGTGCTCCAGGTTTCTAGGACTTGAAGATGATCCTGATTGTCTTGGGCACAGTCCTTGCGACAGTGGCCGCCGTAGTTGCTGTCGTGATGTTCACGTGTCCTTGGGTGAAGTATGATTTTCAATATATCAAGAAAGGACTCAAGATACTCAAAATGGTAAAGAAGAAGGTGCAGACGCGAGAGTACGCTGTGGACTCGCTGGAGAGGCAGGTGCGTGAACGGCCCAAACAGACGTTCATCATCTACCAAGACAACAACTACACCTACGAGTTCGTGGACCAGAAAGCGAATCAGATAGCTCGGGCTGCCCTCAAGCTGGGACTCAAGGCTAAAGATGTTGCTGCAATCATGATGCTCAATGAACCAGCGTTTCTGTGGACGTATTTTGGTAGGTAGTATTTACTAAAAATTGTGCATAGTTTATCATGACAGATTTCTATATTGTTGCTCACAAAAATGGAGTTAAAAAACAACGCGGTTATTAAAGTACATGGCCGAACATTCTGCTATACTATCGCAGGTATCACATATATGCACGTGCGTTTGACGAAAGAAAGGCAATGCACGTTAAACATGGCATTAAGTTAGGAGTGCGTCTTGTGAAGGGCACCTAAATCGTAAAACTGGATGAATATTATATATTCAGTTTTTTCATTGGTAGGCGTGATATGTGTTTGAAAGGCTTGACATAGCCTAGTAATTGATGTGAAGTTTCTTTGTCACTTTCGATTCTTCTTCCCTTTTAGATGTATAATAATATTTCCACTGTATAGAAACTCTGTATTTCTCACTATTTGTTTAAGGTCTGCAGAAGATCGGCGTGTCCGTGTCCCTCATCAACTATCACCTCCGCCACAAGGCTCTCGCCCACTCCATCACCAGCTGCAAGCCTAAGATACTCATCGTAGGTCAAGGTCAGTACACCACTGTCACCCCACCAAAGGTCAGTGTCGGCAGAGTTTGGTTCTTATTAAACTTTTCAAACATTTGCATGCGTCGTTTCTTCTTTTGTCTCACTTAATCGTTAGCAGGATTCTTCTTTCATGTTCTTTCAAACAAGGTGAGGAATTGTCGTCTGCTCTGAAAGAAATTCAAGACGACCTCGGTGAAATCCGCATCCTGACCCATGACGCACACGTTCCCGGCCTGAAGTTCGAGTCTCTCGGCAAACTGACTGAGGGTGAGTCGGAGGCAACAGTCGACTACAAGCACAGAGCGGAAGTGACCCTCACGGACGTGGCATCTTTCATTTTCACTTCCGGTACAACAGGTAAGGCCATTTCGCTGGTTCACTGTCTAATTTGAACCCAAGGAAGTACGGACATCCACTTTTTAGTGTGCGCATGCTTTTGTTACGTCAGAGATGCTGCCATATCCATTCTTTGGATTAAGGGGTGTAATTGAGCCACATTAAGTATCTATTGGAAGCAGACCCGGTTTTACTGCAAAGAAGGAAATATCAAATATTGATTCAATTTCGGAAAGAAAACCGCTTGCTGTTTTACGAAGCCACAGCCCGTTTTCGTTTTGGAAAACAGAATCATTTGCTCAATGGATCATACGGGGATGATATTCGATTCTAATGATGTTCATCCATCTTCCAAAATTCAGCCAAAATGCATTAGCTTCAGCCGATGCAATTTGTCATCTTAGCTTCTTAGGCCAGTGTGTAACGTATTCCATCCTGTTATGTTGAAGCTGGTTAAAAACTACGAAAGTTTTTATTTCTACCATATCACACATCCGTTTTAGTCTTATCTGACTGGTTCATCAGGCTTGGAGGTGAGAAGATCCGGGATCCGCTTTTGTCTATTTGCTTGTTCAGTTTGTTATTTAGAAGGTTTTAATTCCTCGTCGGAATTAAAAGGTTGGTAACATTTCAGTTATTGCTAAGACGGCTGTTTATTATAAAGTATCACTCACATTGTGGCTTCAGTGTTCTTTCTTTTCTGGGTCGGTGGGGTAGCCTACTGGTTAAAGCGTTCGCTCGTCACGCCGAAGAGCCGGGTTCGATTCCCCACATGTGTGAAGCCCATTTCTGGTGTCAAGTATATTACTAAAAGCGGCGTCAAACCAAAGTCACTCAATCAGTCACTCTTTCTTTTCTCAAGGTCTACCGAAACCAGCAATCGTTTCTCACAAGAAAACAGTCATGGCCTTGGCCGCGTTTGAGGTGTTTGACTTCAATGAGAATGATGTGCTGTACGAGGTGCTGCCGCTGTATCACTCCGCCGGCCTCAACCTCGGCGTCTTCTCCGTCCTGAACGCAGGTTGGTACTTGGTCCCCACCGGGACAGTCTGCATCACTGATCATTGCAGCCTGAGGTTGAGAGACGAAGGGGGCGGTGGAATAGCCTAGTGGTTAAAGCGTTCGCTCGTTACAAGGAAGACCCGGGTTCGCTCCCGATATGGGTACAAAGTGTGAAGCCCATTTCTGGTGTTCCCCAATGTGATATTGCCGGAATATAGCTAAAAAGCAGCGAAAAAACTAAACTCACTGAGATACTGAGTGGTTTGGATTTCAAGTTCCATACATACCATTTACTAACTCTTTCTACTGCCCTACATTGCAGTTACATTCACAATGTGATCCAGATCCAGATTACTGATATTCAGCATGGTATGCTTATCCTAAGGTGCGACTATATAGATCAGGTGGTCCGGCCTGTTGACTAGGTTGATGCATGTCAGTGTAGCCCTATTGCGTTGACCGATGCTCATGATGTCACTCACTGGACGCACTGGTCTAAACCGATTATTTACTGACCACCGTCATCTAGGTGAATTGTTGCTGAGTGGAGATAAACAACATACAATGTTCACAAAGAGTGAAGATAAAACATACAATGTTCACAAAGAGTGAAGATAAACAACATACACTGTTCACAAAGAGTGAAGATAAACAACATAAAGTTCATAAGATAAACAACATATTCACAAAGAGTTAAAGTCATATTCAATTCACGAGCTTTTCTCGACTGTGTAAATTAGGAATATGAGTGTAAAATCATCAGCAGAGTGTATACCTGACTATACTTAGTCATATTTCGTCTATGCATCTGAGGGCGGTGGGGTAGCCCAGTGGTTAAAGCGTTCGCTCGTCACGTTGAAGACCCGGGTTCGATTCCCCACATGGGTGCAAAGTGTCCTCGGCCGTGATATTAATGGAATATTGCTAAAAGCGCCGTAAAGCTAAATTCACTCCCCCATTATGCACCTGACTGCTAGCTGGCTCATCTGAAAATTATTCAGTGTAAAATTCAGAAACTGATGTCCACTGGCAGTAACTTGCACAAAATCTACCTGATGATCCATTAGGACCAACTATTTAAAAAGTCACGTGTCTTCTTGTGTATCACACTTACTTCTATTTCATTGAGACTATGCTTTATCCTAGTAGTTACAGTATTAGCTTCTGACTCCGGGTTTGGTTAGTAATATAATACTCACAAAATGCAATGTTTGAAGCCCATTTTTGGTGTCCCGCGCCGGTAATGAGCAAGGCGCGAAACCATTCCTCAATCATTCACTCATCCTTGCAGTAGGGGTGTGGATACTGTTACAGCGGCTTTACAACCATCTCACGTTTTCACGTACTCTGCTGCAGGTGCTGTCATGGTTTTACGGACCAAGTTTTCCGCCAGCAACTTCTGGTACGACTGTCGCAAGCACAGCGTCACTGTGGTGCACTACATCGGGGAAATGTGCCGGTACCTCGTCAACAGGCCAACGGTAATGTGAACGTCGGATTTTTCAGGTTAAAGAAATCACTGCACAAAAACTGACAGGATCAGGAATAAACAGGTGATCGATATCATGAACAACGGCCCACATAGTCGGGGTGACACACGATCAACCACTTCCCCACATCTATCCACCCGATCCATTTCGTTGCCTTGTAAGACGAGTAACATAGAGGAAAACTATATCACAAAAGTGAAGATATTTTTCACAGTACGATTTCATTCAAAACATATCGATACATTTTACTGTCAATTGACAGAACTCGTAAAGATCCGGGGGGAAAACTTGATCTTCAGCAACCCATGCTTGTCGTAAGAGGCGACATTCGGGATCAGGTGGTCAGGCTCGCTGACTTAGCTGACACATGTTATCGTATCCTTATTGCGTAGATCGATGCTCATATTGTTGATGACTGGATTGCCTGGTCCAGATTCGATTATTTACAGACCTCTGTATATAGCTGGAATATTGCTGAGGGCGGCATAAAACAATAAATAAACAAGCAAACAATCAATTGACAAAATATCAAACACACGTCATATAAGCTACGAATATGCGTGAGGAAAAGAAAGTACAAGCGATAAATGTTGTCCTTGATGAACTACATTCATTTTTCATATTCCACCATGAGTTCCATATTTTGCATAGACCCAGGAAGATGGGATCCACACTATCCGGGCTGCTGTGGGCAATGGGTTGCGCAAAGACATCTGGAAGGAGTTTGCAACAAGGTTTAGGATACCCCAGATTCTGGAGTTCTACGCTGCGACAGAGTCACCAATAGGCTTTACCAATATCTACAACAAAGTTGGAAGCGTTGGGAGAGCCTCACCTCTGACGGTAAGACATTTAGTGATACAGGCACATTCAAGTGGGCGAGGTGAGGCGTAATGGGTTTTAACGTCGAGGTCATGATTTCTGGGGTTTGACTTATTAATTTTTGTACTTGCATAGTATGTTAACTGCGTGCATGCGCATCTGTCAGTGTGCCAGCTTGTCGGTCTGCCTGTCTGTGTGTGTGGGCGTCCGTATTTGTATGGACACATGTTGATATCATAGTGCTAGATAACATCACGCTTTAAAAATAACGCTGATACTCCACTCAGACACAGTAGACTGAATGAACCGACCAGACCATGTTAATCCTCTTCAAGCCGAGCCTAAGGCAGAGTGACATCTCTGATGACCTTTCCACGCAGCAGGCGATCGAACCTCCCACCTTCCGCTCTCAACATATATGCTCTATCCATTACACCCCAGAAACGGACCCAAAACCAAATAGCAAGGAGACAAATTAAATTTCATCTCAGAATTTGCGGGCATGTAGTATGTAGAGAAACACGTAATAAAATTCAGCTGTCTACGAGACCAGATTGGCCTGGAGGTTACTGCGTTAGCTAGTCACACTGGAACCCAGTTTCGAGTCCTAACTCTGGTGTCTCTGTTGTGTGGATTAATTATATTTTTTTAATTAAATAATTTCAAAAAGTTTCAATGTAAGGAATCGTGTTTATCAGCATTGCAATGGCGACTTGAAAATTTATCCAATCCTTGGTCGTTGCGTCTCGTGCGAACTCGCACGACTTCAGCTAAAGTGTCACCTACTGTTTTGTTTACTTTGCAGAATTTACTTTTCCCGGCTGCCTTCGTTGAGTTTGATGAGGCTACACAGACCGCAAGGAGAGATGCAGAGGGGCATTGCACCAGGGTGGGGAAAGGCAAGAAAGACATATTCATACTTAAAATATACGGATATCTTTACGTTAATATTATAACAGTAGCTATATGTCAACTTAATATTAATAATCATCATAATGATTTTGATTGAGGATTGCAACTCTGAAAACTGAGAAGCAACCTGTTGTGGACCTGGTTAGCTTGAGGCATTTCTAATATTAGTTTTATGTTCAATTTTTTTAGAACTGTAATTTGTCACAATAATTTGTGCAATCGACGTCTCTAGGATGCCATGAGGTTCAGTTGCAACCCTTATTGCGACTTCTGTGCTACTAAAACTCGCAGTTACTTCAGCCTTTTGAGTATTATATGCGATATAAATCTATATGTTATGATGGCATGTGTACTTGGGAGATTGAGTCACATAAGGGTGCATCCGATAGAATATTCAAATACAGTTTTACTTTTGACATACGTGTGCAATATTTTTTACTTCGACTCATGTTTGTCTTTTTCAATTCAGATCGCGTGGGGCTCCTGATTTCGCCTCTAGATAAGATAAGGACATTTGACGGCTACCATAATCGCCCGGTGGACAACGAGAAGAAGTTGCTCCGCGACGTCTTCAAATCTGGCGACGTCTACTTCAACACGGGTGACCTCTTCTACGTGGACAACGAATACTTCATTTACTTCCAGGACCGCACCGGAGATACGTATAGGTCAGTCGTATCCTCATAGTAGGTACAAGACAGTGAGCCTGAGCGGGTTATCATGTTTTGCATAGTTTATAGATGGGCCCTTTTCCTACATTTTGGATTATTCATAAACGGATGAGCTTCGGAACCTATATGTATGGTTGTGGTTTTTATTTTGTTGTTCAGAAATGTAAATGGAATCTAACTCTGTGTACAGGTGGAAGGGGGAGAATGTGTCGACAAATGAAGTATCCAATGTGCTGTCCACAGTCGACTTCGTCCATGATGCCAACGTTTACGGCGTCACTGTCCCAGGTATGACCTGATATAGAGCAGCAATATCTCGGCTTGTTTGAGATGCTTAAGTTCACATGAACATAGCTAATGATATAATAGTAACGCTGTCCACAGCAGTAGTACAGCAGGATGAGGTGGCGGGCGTGTGTAATCGAGTCTGAAACAGAAACTAGTGACCGACATTCTGAGCATCGATCTACGTATTTCATGGCCAGAGAGCTAACCACCCGATACCATTAGTCGCCTATTTCGATATGCATGAACTATGGAAAACAAGGATCTTCACCTGGATCAGTATCTATTGTACTCAGTATATGTTTATGGTCAACACCTTTAAGTCGATATGTTGACGTAATGGTTGGTGATAATTCTTATCGATGCAGCATGAAAGTGTGCAGGTACTGGCGGCGAATGACAGACCTTTGTCCATAATTTAGCACAATGTTGAAAATCTCGCCTCAAACTACAGATAATTCGATCTGTTAAGACATTGACTTCGAGTTATCGGGTTTCACTGTTGTATCCATCTCCTTCAGGTTGTGAGGGAAGGGCTGGAATGGCGGCTATTCACCTGAAGCAAGACGTCCAACTGGACTCTAAAGGCCTGAAAGATATCAGTGAGCATTGTGCGCAGGAACTTCCGGCCTATGCTCGACCCAAATTTCTACGCGTTCAACGGCAGATGAGTCTGACAAGCACCTTCAAGCAGCAGAAAGTAGACCTGGTTAATGAAGCGTTTAACCCTTCAAGCGTTGACGAGCCTCTGTACTATTTTGACAGTAAAAGGAATGCGTTTGAAGCAATCAGTGAAGATATATACGAAGACATTGCAAATGGTCGGATAACGTTGTGATAAGACTTTCTGAGATCTTGATAAAGTCAGGAGTTTTTGGACTATGAGCATCCAGGAACTCATAGGATCTCGTAACGCCTCGCGATCTAACCAAGGTTATTTGTCATTTGCATGGAATGGATGATCAAACCATGCCAGGACTCAACATGCACCGCCTATGTGAAATCAACCATTTCCACACGTGGTATCAGATGTAGTAGAAGTTGAGCGTCCACATCTTCCGCTTTAAGTCCACGTCAGTTGGTGCGATGAAAGGATGAAAGCCTACTGAGAAATACCGCAGCATCTTTGCATATAACCGACCACAGTTACAGCAACAAAGTCTTCAAACTGTAACTGTTTGTTATTATTAAGTGAGTGTAGTTTTACGCCGTTTTTAGCAATATTCCAGCAATATCACACAAGAAATGGGCTTCACACGTTGTTCTCATGTGGGGAATCGAGCCTGGGTCGCGTGACGAGCGAACGCTTTAACTACTAGGCTACCCCGCCGCCTATATTATGAAGTACTAAAAGAACAAAATGGTTGAAAAGGATCGGGAATCACCGAATCATATTATCTACAGTGCCTGTGAACTGCGTGTCAGTGAAATATAATACTTGTCTGTCTGTATTCGTGTATCGTATTGGTGTACAAGGGTAGTGCCATATACAGAGATAGGGCTGATAAATACAACGCACAATAGCAATTACTATCTTATGTCGACACCTCATATATGGCGTTTATTGCAGCACGGTTTTGTAAGAATCTGGAAGCAATAAAAAAATATTTTCTTATTAATGTGTAGTGTTGTTCTTTGTACTGAAGGTCTTCTTGGTGCAGAGGAAGGGATGATCGGGTATAATTACAGTGGAATAAAGGATGAGTTATTTGGCAGAGTGTTTTCTGCTTTGTGTGTGTTTGCGTGCATGTGTATATGTGAGAGAGAGGAAGGGAGAGGGTATAATTACAGTGGACCCAGCTTGGTGCAGAGGAAGGGATGATCAAATCCATTGAGTCTATAAGGGCGAACATCGGCGAAGGGATGATATTTTCTGGCTTCTTGGAATCTCCATGGTGGTGAACATGGTGGTGACACTCGAGGAATAGTAAATACACATGCATTGTGAATATGTTATCATTTGAAGATGTATTTCAGATCAAACAATTCTGTTATTTCTGAACAAACGTGAATTTGTATACGGAGAGAGACCCAGCGTGGCCACCAAATTGACCAGCTTAACAAATGTTCTATTGTCTACATTGATATTTCTAAACAATTCTGGAAATACATGTGAGCAGCTTAATATAAAAACTGTATAGCCCCTGCAGTTATAAAGAATTCCAAGAGACATATTAGTTCGCCATACGCATTTAGACTAGAATATGCAGAAAGTGACTAGGACATAATATAGATCGCTACATCCATCAGTTCGTTATAAGGGTGTCCGTTATAAAAGTAGTTGCCTGTATTATAGATGCATTATTGTGTTAAAGTTGACCAGCTGGTCGATTCCTCAAGAACATACACCGACAAGGTAACACACTGTACTGGAGACGAATATACACGGAAGCCAATACACTGAGCCAACACGTGGCGTCCACAGCTTGCAATAGGTGCTCTACCCACCTTCATCAGCAGCTTCTCAAGCAACACCTTCTTTAGTGGGCATCGATTCTGGTTACAGCAAGCGCACAACGGTTACCGTGGTAATCGGGTGACATATTCCTCTCATTACAAAATACCGCACATTACAATGGCTTCTACACACGTTTGTAGACCCCGTTCGTGGTCCAGTGCATACACCGTCTGCCCAAAGAGAGAAGATTGGGCTTCGATCCCCCGCCTACGTCATATCCAATCAGACTCTTCCACCTTCTCAAGACCAAGGTTCAACAGGCGCTCACCCGACCCCTAGCTCCATCTGAGATCCAGACAGACTTTGAACTTGCTGCCATTCAAGCTGCTGAGAATGTGTTTCCACAAACTGAAGTAAAAGGGTGTCTGTTCCATTTCTGACATTGTGTTGAGGAAGACTGTGACAGATGAACTAAGAATGATTGATGAAATTTCATTTGTTACAGCTTTTAAATATTATTGATTAAATAAATATTGATGAAATAAATGATCCACTTGCTACTTTGTCAAAACTCGTTACATGGGTGATACCATATTTCTTAATCAAGGGTACAGCCTACTAATCACGGATGCAACCAACCACAACAAGTGTTGTTTTAACAGGTCTGCTTTTTGGGAGGATACCACACAGGATGATACAAGATGACGGCATTAAAATGATTAGACAAGATCTTGTTGTCTGGAAGTCAGCATGCTGCGTATGAGTGTAATACCAATGTTAAGCTGCACGGTATCGCATTAGATGACCCTGTAAAATCACCACTTGTCTGGACTCTTACAAGTAAACTGGCTTGGAAAGGCGGATAGGGTACGTACTATAGGTATACCATGCTTATTGTACCACTCGGGCAATGGATTTGCATCGTGACACGACACTGTGGATTGTCTTCACGGTAACCACTAGTTTGCTCTGGAATGATCGTATACTGTCTGTGATGGTATAGCTGGTATATTGCCGACTGGTGAGTCGGAACCTGGAACCGCTGTTCACAAGTTCAGGGAGTGTGGTCACTTTTCTATATGCAGGTGATTGATCGTTGGTACCTATACTGTATACTTGTCAGATAATGTATACGGAACTTGCATCATACATAAAAAGGATCACAACCCGAGTACATCATGCAGGTACACAAGCTAGGTTGTGCACCCTTGAGGGGGCCAGGATGTGATGAAATAATATCTACGTATATATAGCTAAATTGATATCACTTGGACAGTGAGATTTTCTTATTTCTCAATTTCTCGGAACGTTTATTGATCAGATTTTAATTACCCCGTAGAGTGACTACCCTTGGTCCGGAACAGACAAAGCAGTGGTTTATTGACAGTAACACATCAACCACCCAGTGCATGAGGGGACCAGTTCGGCCCTGGAAATCCATAAGATCTTCTTGAGAGTAAAGGATTGTAGCTGCGTGTATTCTACAAGCACTTGTACTTAGTCGGTCAACCGGTTTTGAAAAGGAATTTCCGGATACACTTCACGCTTGATTTCTACTTCCGTTGAGAAATAACTTTTGGAGGCTAGGTATTGTCCTAGCTCTCTCACGTCATCCCAATATTGAGGACTACCCAACATGCCCCCTAGACAGTGATCTTCCCATTAACGATGTCTGTATACACACTCCGTGTGAGGGCTTTGTACTGGTTTGAGACAGAGTCAAAATAATACAGGGGGTCGTCTATGCTGGATGGATCAAATCCGTCATTCACGAGCCGGACCTTCTGGTGCTTGAAGGTGCTTGTCAGGTTCACTTCACGCTGAAAGCGTAGGAATCTCGGGCGTGCATAAGCCGGAAGTTGTTCCGCGCAGTGGGCGCTAATTTGTTGAAGATTCTTGGAATCTATTGAAGTGTTGTCTTTTAGGCGAATAGCGACCATGCCGGCTTTTCCTTCGCACCCTAGTAAGAAAATATATATGGATTTGTTAGCTTTGAAATGAATTATTATCATTTTAGCGATATGATCATAAATGTCACCTCAACTATATAAACACTATTCGTAAAATATACCAACAACATTCACCAAATGTCATCAAGCACAAAAGAAAAGAGTTTATTCATACGTCACGTTCTACTTTATCTATAATCGTTTGCATTTTAAATAGCGTCAATATCCAATTATCATTATAAGACATAGCGTATATAGCGTGTAGATGCCTCAGCGAGACTCCTGGACATATCCTGCTGAATGAGAAATAAATTGTCCCGTGAAGAACCGCGTTAGAAACGAGAAATGAAACCTTAGACTAACATTAGTGTAGTGCAAACACACGAACCTGGAACAGCAACACCATACACGTTGGCGTCGTAGAGGAAGTCTATGGCAGACAGCACGTTGGATACTTCATGCGTGGAGACATTTTCTCCCTTCCATCTAGAAACGAAATGAGATAGGGATATGACACTTTGTGTGGCATTGGAGGTTGGTGTAATGGACAATGAGGATAGTTCTATGGGTATGCAACTTCTTTATCTTGCCTGATAACTGTGTTAGCATCTACACAGTAATAAACTATCCCCATCGTTGTCACAGTTTCAAACTCCCCCGTGGGGATTCATGTTAGAATGTATTACCAGCCACTTATACTCGTCGTAAGGGGTGAAATGGATCGGATGACCGGTCTGGAAGTTGAGAGCCAGTTGTCGTACCCCACGGCGTGGGTGACGATCACTATATAGATCACTGGTGTGTCTTGAGAAGGTTCGATCGCTGCACTTAGAGGCCGCTTTCATATAGCTATATCAACTAAGTGCAGCGTTTAACCGCTAACAAACAATAAAACATTTTATATATCATTCGGGAAGATCATTTGGTCTGGCCACTTTCCCTCAAGTTGAAATGTTATCGCTGCCCAGTCTGCGTATATCGAGTGATCTTAACACTGAGATACACTTGTATAAACTCCTTTGTCCTTGAGTATACCTGGTCTAATCAGCAGTTTGTGTGGGTGCATATATAAACTGACCGGCAAAAGAAAGTACATGTGTATACAAGGTTTTCAATAGGTCATTACTATTCACCTAGACTATCTAGACACACAAAACATAATGCAGTGGTGTTAACAACATCTGTACTCAACCTGAACTAAACATCACACGCATACTACAGAAACACGTGGAGACAGACATGCGCAAGTTCACTGGGGGTCCTGAAAACCAGTGTTCAATCACATGGAGGATAAGCAGGTACTGAGTTACACACAATACATGTTCACTACCATCACTTTAGTATCCTGTATGTCCACCCCTTGCATCAGTACAGGCACGCAGCCTAATTCTAGCCGAAGACGTCAGACGTCGGACAAGGTCACGTGGTATGTGACGCCATTCGTCCTGGAGGGCTTGTGCAAGTTGCTGCCCATTCTGTGGTGGGTTAGGGCGTTTCGGGCCCAACGCAATATGTGACGTCTGTGTTCAGGGGTCAACATATGTCCTTTGAAGTCTCTGATACCTGCTGTCCAAAGACGTCTAGCCACCGTGTATCGACTGACACGGTGATCAAGGGAATTCGCCGCTGATGACGTTACCGTCAGAAAACGGTTTCTCGGGTGTAACGTCCGCAAATGCCGGTCTTCAGCTGGTGTTGTTACTCGCGGTCTCCCACTTCTTGGTCTGTCCTGTGTCTGGCCTGTCTGCCTGTAACGTTACAGCAGTCTAGAGACGGCTACACGGGTGCAGCCGAAGGTTCTTGCAACGTTGGCGTGTGTTGACCCCATCTGGAGCATGCCTATAGCCCTCTCACGTTCTACTGCTGATAGTCGTGGCATATCTGTGGTGGTCGTTTTTAAACTGCATGTGTACCCTGTCAGCACACTTTATACCCTTAGTGCATGTGGAACTCTGACTGAGGCCCAAAATCATGGTTTATACAATTTACCACTTCGACGTTCTATTCACGATGTGCACGTGAATTTCACTGCTGGTATCAAGTTGCTACGTTGGGGCGATGTGTTTCAGTGTATAATTTACCTACAAAAATATTTCTTTAAAATTTGAGAAATGGTAACCTCTTGGTATAATTTCTTTTGCCGGTCAGTTTATATGTCGCCCTTACTGGAAAAATGTTACAGTAGTATAAGCATGAATTACCTGTATGTATCTCCTGTGCGGTCTTGAAAGGACACAAAGTATTCGTTGTCTAGGTAGAAGAGGTCGCCCGTGTTGAAGTAGACGTCGCCAGGCTTGAAGACGTCATATAGAAGTTTCTTTTCATTCTCAGCCGGGCGGTCAAAATAACCCTCGAATGTCCTCCGTTCGTTGACGGGAGCGATGAGAAGACCCACACTGTCTGTAAGCAATGAGAAGACCCACACTGTCTGTAAGCAATGAGAAGACCTAAGCAATGAGAAGACCCACACTGAAGACCCACACTGTCTGTAAGCAATGAGAAGACCCACACTGTCTGTAAGCAATGAGAAGACCCACACTGTCTGTAAGCAATGAGAAGACCCACACTGTCTGTAAGCAATGAGAAGACCCACACTGTCTGTAAGCAATGAGAAGACCCACACTGTCTGTAAGCAATGAGAAGACCCACACTGTCTGTAAGCAATGAGAAGACCCACACACTGTCTGTAAGCAATGAGAAGACCTACACTGTCTGTAAGCAATGAGAAGACCTACACTGTCTGTAAGCAATGAGAAGACCTACACTGTCTGTAAGCAATGAGAAGACCCACACTGTCTGTAAGCAATGAGAAGACCCACACTGTCTGTAAGCAATGAGAAGACCTACACTGTCTGTAAGCAATGAGAAGATCCACTGTCTGTAAGCAATGAGAAGACCTACACTGTCTGTAAGCAATGAGAAGACCTACACTGTCTGTAAGCAATGAGAAGACCTACACTGTCTGTAAGCAATGAGAGACCCACACTGTCTGTAAGCAATGAGAAGACCTACACTGTCTGTAAGCAATGAGAAGATCCACTGTCTGTAAGCAATGAGAAGACCTACACTGTCTGTAAGCAATGAGAAGACCCACACTGTCTGTAAGCAATGAGAAGACCCACACTGTCTGTAAGCAATGAGAAGACCCACACTGTCTGTAAGCAATGAGAAGACCTACACTGTCTGTAAGCAATGAGAAGATCCACTGTCTGTAAGCAATGAGAAGACCTACACTGTCTGTAAGCAATGAGAAGACCCACACTGTCTGTAAGCAATGAGAAGACCCACACTGTCTGTAAGCAATGAGAAGACCCACACTGTCTGTAAGCAATGAGAAGACCCACACTGTCTGTAAGCAATGAGAAGACCCACACTGTCTGTAAGCAATGAGAAGACCCACACTGTCTGTAAGCAATGAGAAGACCCACACTGTCTGTAAGCAATGAGAAGACCCACACTGTCTGTAAGCAATGAGAAGACCCACACTGTCTGTAAGCAATGAGAAGACCCACACTGTCTGTAAGCAATGAGAAGACCCACACTGTCTGTAAGCAATGAGAACACCCACACTGTCTGTAAGCAATGAGAAGACCCACACTGTCTGTAAGCAATGAGAAGACCCACACTGTCTGTAAGCAATGAGAAGACCCACACTGTCTGTAAGCAATGAGTGAATGTTGTTTAATGCCGTGTCAGTAATACCCCAGCTGCATAACGGACGCATGCTACAAGTCGGCCGCATGTTACATGTCAAACCAATGTCTGAAAGCATGAGCAACGATCTACGATGACGTAATCAGGCATGATAAAATTGGTTAACCCGGATACCAAGTAGATGCCTCAATCCCCAGACATGCATGTAAAATATACATATATTCAATCATGAAAGCATCGTGCACATGAACATTTAGCAATATATATAAACATACATACCAGTAAAAACTCATCATAAACACACTCACAATTATGTCAACATCAACACACATAATTTGTTTGTTTAACGCCGCACACACACACACACACACACACACACACACACACACACACACACACACACACACACACACACACACACACACACACACACACACACACACACACACACACACACACACACACACACACACACACACACACCGCCTTTCTCAAAAAGCTGTATCCGCCCCTGATATACAACGCCTAATTTTAACTTCAACAGTATGTAAATGTCAGTTATGTTCTTTTGTGTAATCAGGTTATGAAGCTTATGAAAACTGATTAATACAATGGCTAATGTCCATCGATGTTACCTTTCGCTATCTCTATACATCTGCCATCGGCATCTCTTTTGGCACTTTCAGTCACGTGATCAAACTGGACCAATATGGCCGGGGCAAGAATCCTCTGAATAGAAAGAACATTTGAGGAACACACGTTAAAGTTAGTACATTAAGCTCGGTTAAATCATTTTATATCTTTCACTGAAGAAAAGGAAACAAGCTCTACAAATAACGAAAGCGTGGGTCAACAGGCCAGTAATGAATATAAATCAAAACACCCGACTTAGCTTGATAATAATCAGTTAATATTGCTAGTGTACCTTTGGATACATACTACCTTTGTACGCCCTGCCATAATACAAGTTACATAGTTCTAAACAAAATCTAAGGTAACTGCTACAAAAAAGCTGCGGTCAAATAGTCTCAGCAGTGATAGTCCGACTCATTAAATCATCTTTTAATCCTATAATCCAACTCCTTGCTGCGATCTGAGGATATATTCTGGCAATGGGCTATGGTATCGGTCAAAGAGATGTACCTTTAATGATGCCGACGCGACAGTACTGTAGGTAAACGTGTTAGCGTATACGGGTAGGTCATAGATGCTCAGATACAGACATCAGGTGTTTGAAAAAGGTAATTCAAGAATAACCAGCGAGCAGCTACGTCGAATTATATGTACATGGTTGCGTGTTGGTGTGGAAAATTGGAATACCAGGAGAGGGTATAGCAATAGACATGTAGGACACAGGTGGTGACAGAATACGTCAGTTACGTTGTTAATGGTTTAACTGGGTCAGAGGCATGTTGTGGTAGTTTGGGTGGTTGTTTGTTTTGTTTCTTTCAGTACTCGTTAAGACTACGAGGGGATATGTTTTGAGCCTGACATATGTAGGTTTTCGTGCTGACATGTGACATATATTAGGATTGACCTGTTTTGTTTGTTTGTTGTTTAACGCCGCACTCAGAATATTCCACCTATATGACGACGGTTTGTAAATAATCGAGTCTACACAAAACAACCCAGTGATCAACGTCATGAACATCGATCTACGCAATTGGAATACGATGCCATGTGTTAATCAAGTGAGCAAACCTGACCACCCGATCCCGTTAGTCGCATCTTACGCCAGGCTACTGAAGACCAATTCTAACCCGGATCTTCACGGGTGCTTGTTTGGGTGTACGACGGACTCCTGGAGCTGTTTTCGGTGAGTCGTGGCGTATAACTTTTGAAATAATGATCCGATTGTGACCATTTATAGCTCATTTGTGTTATCTCGCTTTCCACGGATACGCTGATTGAGGAGGAGGGTGGTTCCGTCGTTAATCCCTTTCCTTTTATAGAAGGGTCTATAAGTCTTTCTAACGCTGTTTCTAAGCGTGACACGCCCCTGTGCTGAAGGCAAGCAAGAAATAAGAAAGCGAGTTAACTGCTGCTAACCAGGGTGGTATATAGACTTAAGAAAGTCCCTGTCGAAATTCTTTCTTCAAATTGCTGCTTCATTCTGACTCGTGTGTGCGTGCCTGCATGCGTGGCTGTTGGTCTTATGGTGTTGTGGTTTGTAGGTCACTGGGGTACGAAGTCGCATTCGTAGTATCCATACAGATTTGTGGAAGGACACTACAAGTATGGAACTCACCGTCAGCGGAGAAGACCTCCCAACCTTTCCCACTTTGTCGAATATATTTGCAAATCCTATAACTGACTCGGTCGCAGAATAGAACTCCACTACCCGCGGGATCCGAAACCTCCTTGTGAAGGATTCCCAGATGCCCTTTCGGAGGCCGTTTCCCACTGCGACCCGGATGTTGTGACGTGCTTCATCCGGGACCTGCGGAAGATTTGGCTGGATTTAGGATCACTATGGAGGGTTTATGGCGCCTTCGTGCATGCATTATCTCAAGGCCTACACGTATGTTTCCTATACACATATGGCATCTTTGATGATTCTCGCTGATGAATATACCCTTTGATTACAAAACCCGAGTGTATTTTATACACCCACGGTCATGAGTGGTACGCTTTATATACACTTACGCCCCATCAGTCCATCTTTCATGCAGATAGTCACGATATGGCTGAAATATTGCCGATGTGACTTAAAATCTTAACTCACTCACTCACTCTTTCATGCAGGGTTGTATCAAGAATGGAACTCAGGTGATAACATGCTTATTTTAGGTCCAACGACGCACTCAGCATTATTCCAGCTGTCTGGTGGCAGTCTGTGAATTATTCGAGTCTGAATCAGATAACCCAGTGATCGATGTTGTGAGCACTTAAACTCACTCACTCAGTTTACCCATCCTTCCCTAAGAACTTGAAATTGTAAATTACCAAAGTGTCTTCAGTTTTAATGTTCTCATGAACATGCTTATTTTCTGCATGTATTGTTCAATCCTTCCTGTGATATTCTAAACACCTCCAGTGTGTATATACTGTTTTAACTAAGTCTTACAAGCCACAAGCGTTACGGTTTCTCTTGATCATTCCTTACCACTGGTTTTTGGACGAGATACCTGCACATTTCCCCGATGTAGTGCACCACTGTGACGTTGTGTTTACGACAGTCGTTCCAGAAATTGCTGGCGGAAAATTTGTTCCGTAAAACTATGACAGCGCCTGTAGCAGAAACAGTGAAACGCTTTGAACATGAACATCTAGTGACATTATGGAATACACCCCTACTCGGGGAACTTAAAGACCAATAATACAGAGGCGTTCTGCGTCATCTCTCAGCTACCTACTACCAGACGTTACGAACGTGTGAAGACACATATATCGCAGCTTATATACCAACTCGCTGACCTGAGATCCGGGATAGAATTGGTCTTCAGTAGTAAGTTAAGTTTAACGCAGCACACAGCAATATTCAAGCTATATGGCGGCGGTCTGTACATAATCGAGTCTGGACCAGACAATCCAGTGATCAACAGCATCAATATCGATCTACGATGACATGTATCAACCAAATCAGCGAGCCTGGCCACCCGATCCCGTTAGTCGCCTCTTACAAGCATGGGTTACTGAAGATCAATTCTAACCCGGATCTTCACGGGTAGCAACAGTCAAGAGACAATGAAACGAAAATGAAAGCATTCTCGCCTTTGGACTATTTTTGTCATCTTTGGGGGAACTATATACATGTAGTATCACTCACCTGCATGAACAACAGAGAACACACCGATAACGAGGCCCGCGGAGTGATACAGAGGAAGGGTTTCGTACAGAATGTCATGCTCATTGAAGTCAAAGGACGAGAATATGGCAGTGGCAAGAACTGTCCGCCTGTGAGTGATGATTGCAGGTTTCGGTAAACCTGGGAAAATATAGAAACTGGCATTTAAAACTGATAATAGTTACCCATGTTTTAATAGCATATTACTGAACATGAACACAGAATATATACTGAGGGAAAAAGATAAGGGATCACATGAAAGTACAAGTGTTCCTTTATTTTTTTCCAGGTTTCTTCACAAGCTATGCCATACAAAGCTTGTGAAGTAACCTTGGAAAAAAATAAAGGAACACTTGTGCTTTCATGTGACCCCTTATTTTTTCCCCTCAGTATATATATATTGACTTAGAAATTGGAATATAGACTGAAATCCCAAATACTGGCTTCCGTTTCTTGGATTTCAAGATGTCCTGAATTAATCGCCAACTCTTAAACTTAATAATATTTCGTGAAAACATTTACAAAAATTATCTGACGTCTCATTTACATGCAATATCCCGTCGTGACAAAACACTTCTTTTCCATCCACGATGCACTTTGAACTGGTTTCTTGTAGACTCCTATATTTAATCTATGTATAAATTCCAGCTACGGTGTCTAAGCAAGAGGACACACACCTGTTGTACCGGAAGTGAAAATGAAGGAGGCTGCGTCTGTTGCTGCTATGTCCTCTCTGTAGCTTTGGTCAACAGAGTCTGTCGACTCGCGCCCTGCAATCTGTGACAGTGAATCCACGTTGAGTCTTGAGGCTGCCGGACCATGTACCACTACCTGCATGTGTTTCACATCATCCCATATTGCGTGTACGGCATCAGTAAGTTCGTCATCTAGAACGTAACATAAGCAACTCAAAGCTGACTGAAAACATCATTTTGTATCGCAGGGTAACTACGTTGTTTCCGGACTGTCCCGTTCCCCAATATCCACACAAGTACACTTCGTGATAAATATCATATCCGCTTCACTTCTTCTTGTCTTAACATCCACTTACCTCCATCTTCCCCAACCCCACCTAACTAAATCTTTCCGAAACTTCCACCTAACTCCATCTCGTAGAAACCCCCACTTAACCCCATCTGGTAGAAACCCCAAGTTAACCCCATCTTGTCCATACCCTTCTTCACCCCATCTTGTCCATATAATCATTGAACGCCGAGTCTTGTCCAAACATCCACTTAACCCCATCTTTCCTAACATTCGCTTAACCCCATCTTTCCTAACATTCGCTTAACCCCATCTTTTCCTAACATTCACTTAACTCCATCTTGTCCAGACATCCACTTAAATCCACTTAAATGATTGTTAGGACAAGATGAAGTTAAATGTCCCCGCCGTCAGGTTGAATTGTCCTAACAATCATATAATTCCATCTTGTCTTAACATCCACTATCCCCTCCCCTCACTTAAGTCCAACTTGTCCTAACATTCAGTTAACCCCGTCTTGTCCTAACATCCAGTTAACCCCTCTTGTCCTAACATCCAGTTAACCCCGTCTTGTCCTAACATCCAGTTAACCCCGTCTTGTCCTAACATCCAGTTAACCCCGTCTTGTCCTAACATCCAGTTAACCCCGTCTTGTCCTAACATCCAGTTAACCCCGTCTTGTCCTAACATCCAGTTAACCCTGTCTTGTCCTAACATCCAGTTAACCCCGTCTTGTCTAACATCCAGTTAACCCCGTCTTGTCTAACATCCAGTTAACCCGTCTTGTCTAACCCCTCTTGTCCTAACATCCAGTTAACCCCATCTTGTCCTGAGCATCTAGTTAACCCCATCTCTTGTCCTAAGCAAGTTAACCCCGTCTTTGTCCACGCACTTACTCCTGTTTTCATCCAGTTAACCTCATCTTGTCCTAACATCCAAGCAATTACTTTCCTCATCTTGTCCAAGCAATCATCGAGCAATTACTTTCCTCTTGTCTTGTCCAAGCATCCATCTTAACCACGCAATTACTCTTGTCCTGACATCAATTACTTTCCTCTTGTCTAGTACAAGTCCAAAATTACTTTCCTCCTCATCTTTCCTCATCTTGTCCAAAGCAATTACTTTCCTCATCTACCTTATCTTGTCCAAGCAATTACTTTCCTCATTTTGTCCAAGCAATTACATTCCTCATCTTGTCCAAGCAATTATCAAGGAAGATGCCTTTCAAAGACCTGAAGCAATTATTCACAACACCTTTTCTGACACCCACTTACCGAACTGACATACTTATCCGATCTTGTTCGAACACCCATTTATCTAGTCCAACAACAACCACATTTGTCCGAACACACACCAACTCCATCTTGTCCGATCACCCCTGTCACCTGTTCTTGATACTCCAATACACAAACTCATGTATTATTTATCATAACTGGTATATTACTTTCCCCATGCATAACCCAACAGAACGCTATCGCTGTTCAGAATCTTGATGGATAGATGTATTGTACAAATACGTAACGCGTGCTGTTTGATTTGTACTGACCTTGACCTACGATGAGTATCTTAGGCTTGCAGCTGGTGATGGAGTGGGCGAGAGCCTTGTGGCGGAGGTGATAGTTGATGAGGGAGACGGACACGCCGATCTTCTGCAGACCTTAAAGAAACAGCGAAAATGTAGAATAACATACTGAGCATTCAGCAAAATATTAAACTAGTAGTTATGTAACAGTGGTAGTAGTAAGTAGTAGTAGTAGTAGTAGTAGTAGTAGTAGTAATAGCAGCAGCAGCAGCAGCATAACCTTTGTTGCCTTTCTTTCGTCACACACACGTGCACATATTTTATACCTGCGAGTATATAGTAAGATGTTCAGCCATGAACTTTAAGAAGGGTTATTTATTAACTCCAATTTTGTGAGTCTGACAACACAAAAATCTGCCTAATAAGCTAACGCTACCATGCACTATTTTCATGTATTTCGTAAATCATACCTACCGAAATATGTCCAGATAAACGCTGGTTCATTGGTCATCATGATTGCAGCAACATCTTTAGGCTTCAGTCCCAGTTTGAGGGCAGCCCGAGCTATCTGATTCGCTTTCTGGTCCACGAACTCGTAGGTGTAGTTGTTGTCTTGGTAGATGATGAACGTCTGTTTGGGCCGTTCACGCACCTGCCTCTCCAGAGAGTCTACGGCGAAGTCGCGTTTGGCGGTTCTCCTCTGTATATACCGGATTAACTTCAACGCTGTTCTCAGATACTGCAGGTCGTATTTAATCCAGGGGAATGCGAATACTGCCAGCACACACATGGTAACAACAGTAGCCGCAAACGTACTTAATACCGTCAGCAACATCACGGCGTTGCCAACGCTGTTACACGAACTTACCTTTATCTCAAACCTTTTTAGATCAAAATAGTTGTCATAAGTCTTAACACCGACTTTCAACGCTCGGAAATATAAACGGAAGTATCGGTCTTCTCACAATATGCACGCAAACATTTTACAATCAGATTATAAACGTTACGTATCCTTCTTGCACATTCTGTGACGCTGTTTTCAGTGTCAAGTAGTTTATAGCATCGTGTGTGAAGGGAAATGACCTGCTCGCTTATGGCCCGTTCTGCAAAATTCGTCCTTGAATATAAGAAGCCACACGTGTTATCCCGTCCAGCAATTTGATATGATGTTTATTGGATGCCACATGGTGTGATATACATTTCATATCAAGCATAAAAAGGAAAATTATTCATTTAGGTGTATGTATAAATTAGTTTGCCTGTTTATTGATTAACCAACAGCCTTCACATCAATAGTTAAGACATCAAGAGTGAGTGAGTCACATTTTACGCCACGTTCAATAGTATTCCAGCTATGCCATGGCGTGTCAATCTAATGTGGAAGGACCCCCAAAATATTGCAGGTCTCAGATGCGTATCACTTTTATGAAACTCAGGAGCACTAGTTGAAAACCCTCAACATAATCGGGGTGAACCAAACAGCGACTCGAACTTGAGATCATAGGTTTCTGGAGTGCCTAAGGGACGCAACTCTGCACAGCGAATTACGGCTCATTAGTCGGGTCCCCAAGACGTTAATAAAGAAATCAGAACTAAAAGTGAAAACTGTTTCAATGAAACGAAGAACTTGAATTGTCCATTGTGTACCTCAGTGTAAACTGACACCTGTCAAAAACAATGGGTTTTTTATCGCGGACTTCACAAGGGGACGATTTTCTCCCGATATCTTCCGAGTGTTTGATCACGTGACTTTTGACGCCATTTTGCGAGGGCGACGACCGTATGAGAAATGACACGCTACAAAGATGGTAAGACCAAAGGTCCTCATGGGTTTTAGTGATTTCGTCTTTCAACAGGATTCCGTAATACTTCTTCCCACACCTCAACTTGTTTTGACTCCTTGAATCTATGATATCTTGATATATTCATTGCAGAGAAAGCATATTTGAACGTGGTTGTATGCATGGATCTTTAGTTGAGAAGAGTAAATGCTGGATCTATTCATTAATGATCAATCAGGGTCTCAGCGTGTGTTAATAATTTTGTCATTTGTGGGTTGAATAACTCAGATGATATACGATAGGGTTATGGTACTGCCTAATTGGGAAGACCTCTGACACTAAGGCTAATCATCGACCATTACAAACTCGAACGGTACGGGAGCTAACTCTTGAAGTGTGTGTTAGAGTTGTTTCCCTCTAATGATTAAGCACATGTTTAGTGGAATCTACTCAGTTCTTATCTATATCGAATGTATGTCAACGCACAGGAATACATACCGTTGGCCAAACATTTTTCTCGACATGTACTAAATCATTCTGATGAGTTTTTCAGGACTGTGTCTACATTTACGACTCTATCATGTTTTCACTAGGTGCAAGTGATCTCCTGTTTACATCATGAAGTACTGAAGAGAACTGTATTTCCTATCCGATTATGGTTCCAAACATGTCACCCCAAATGCCCACCATTTCTCAGCACATGTTATGTTTATTTAAAATGTCAATGTAAATAATGAACATTAACATTTTTACTTTTTTCTTAAAATTCAGACATGGGAACTGCCAGGATGACCAGCAGGCAGGTTGCCCCATTCCAAGCTTTAATGAACATGATCAAAGTTAATTACTTTGCAAAGTCGGAGGTATTCAGAGCTTTGATAGCTGTGCTGTGTGACTATGACATTACCTGCCCAGAAAGTTTCAGAAAGGTATGTTTGCAGTTGAAGGTGTTCTAACAGTAACAACAATTTAAGACTCTTTTCATGCATGACTTATTTTAAACCCTTTACTTAAAAATACTTGTGTGGGTTCATCTGGTTAATCCTATTGAAACTTAGAAGGGAGAAAACACTATCATATACTACTTTCTGTTTCAAATTTCTATCCATTTTAACTTCATAGTGACTTGACTATATATTATTATGTTTATCAAGGGTCACATAAGCCCACCAATCTGAAGCACAGTAATTTCTGTAATATGTATCTATTTCTCTCCCATACACAAAAGTACTTTTATTCCAGACCTCGCGCTACATCAGTGTACTTCTAGGAGATAGCCAAGACCTCGCTGATTGCCTCATCACCTTCTTGCCTCATCCCTCTCCTCCGCCTCCACCTCTGCTGGAAGTTCCGACACCTTCCTGGCACCCACCTATGGTCAAGACCGGGTTGGTGCCATCACATCCAGCCCAGGGTACTTTCCTTCCTCAAGCAGGAGATGCTGCTTCAAAATCAAACCTCAACATTCAGGATCTGACTGCAACATTCAGATTACAGGAAGGGACCTGTAGATGGTAATATCAGTATGGAAATAATTCATTCTTCTCAGCAAAGCCTCATTTGAATGTCCACAGTAAACTTAAGCTTGTTTTAAGAGTTGATCAAAATGGATCTGATTTTGAGATGTGATCTGTTGATTGTCCTTGTATCCCACAGCAAATGGGTCATGATAACAGATTGGATTATTAACAGCTACAGTCATATGGCTGAAACATTGCTGATTTCTGTGTTGATTACATTAACTCACCTCAGTGCCTTATATTCATAGCAGTGTGTATGATTTCCATTGACTATGGAGATCTGTGCTAAATGCACCTAGATAAACATTATATCAATGTGGATTATGACTGGATTTCTTCTGGTTACACACACAAGTGCCACATCAAACATACAGTATCAAAGCACCCTATTTCATCAGATATAACTTGTGTGATGATCTACAAAGCACATTGTTCATAAAATGATAGGAGTGTTTAATTTGCATGCCCATCTTATGTTAACCATGAAATTAAAGTGCTTGGTAAGTGGGAAAATATTGTCTACTTTAAATCTGGCATTTACAAAATGACAGTATCAACTTTCCATTTGAAGAGTCTTTCAATGACAGTATTAAAGCAGAAACACCTGAAAATGTAAATGGTAACCCCAAAACACAAGTTGTGACTGACTGACTGAGTGAGTTTGGTTTTACGCCTCTTTTAGCAATATTCCAGCAACATCACGGCGGAGGACACCAGAAATGGGCTTCACACATTGTACCCATGTGGGGATTTGAACCCGGGTCTTCGGCGTGACGAGCCAACGCTTTAACCATTAGGCTACCCCACCGCCCCACAAGTTGTTAAGGACAAAATGCACCATTCTATCACGCTCGCTGACTTGGTTGACACATGTCATCGGTTCCCAATTGCGCAGATCGATGCTCATGCTGTTGATCACTGGATTGTCTGGTCCAGACTCGATTATTTACAGACCGCTGCCATATAGCTGGAATATTGCTGAATGCAGCGTAAAACTACTCGCTCACTCACATGCTAAATAGATTTGTCTGGGAGATATTCATTTGTAGTCATTACAGATTTCACTAGTTTCAGACTAACCACAAATTTTTGTGTTGACATTGTAGGTGTGCACCAATGAAGAATGAGAATGTCGGTATTCCTGGTTTAGTCCGGCCAAACTTCTCCGCCACTATGCAGAACATGAAGACAGTTGCAACAGCAAAGTTCAGCTTCGATAGGGTTACCCCTCTTCATCCCTTTATGTTGCCTCATCAAGGAAGGGATACCAGTCAAGGACCAGGGATTCAGTCAACACTGGAGGCAGCTTCAGTCAGGCATCTTCTGGGTGGTACTAACCCATCAGCATTTCGTCGTCCTTTAGGGTTGGGCCATCTTCCGGCTGAACCCCATCAGCTGGATCAAAGACCTCTGGATCTGTCTAAAGGTGATATTAGAAGTCTCAAAGACTCAGCATCTCATCTGTTGGATCAGGTCCGTCCTCTGCCAAATCCTGTTGGTAGTGGCCTCAATATAAATCCAACAATGAAAACTGAACCAAATGGTGTTCCACCACATAAGACACTTAAAAACAATGTTTCTTCACCTAAGTCTTCGGGAATCAAGTGTATTCCACCTGGCAACACTCCACTTTCCCACCTCCTAAATATGACTGCTGCGCATGGAAAAGGGCACTCTCTGCACACTTTGACCCAAGGAAAACATTCAACTGACAGTCTAGAGCTGTCAACTTCTACGAAGAAGGTAAATCGATTGAAGTCAAAGCCTGGCCGAGAACTGGAGTCCCTGAAGGAACTGACCGGAAAGCTCAAGCTAGCGGAGAAGAAAATAAAGTTGTCACAGCAATATGCCAAACTCTTTCATCCCACAAGTCCAGGTCCAGTAGGATTCACATCAACAGGAATCCCATTCCAGGTTGTGGACTCCAAGATGCGGTATCCAATTCAAGAAACAGCAAAAAACTTGACTTCCTTCCCATACATTCAAAGGGTCATCTTGCCAGATGGAGAGATGCGAACTCTTAACTTTGACAACTCGTCTTTTAAGGATGAGGAAAGTCGTCAAGAGCAATGTGACGCTGAGATGCACACAAGTGCACCTAAATTGCCTTTTAAGCAAGAGACCAACGATAATAAACCCAGGAAGAAAAAGAGTAAGCACTTGAAGACCTAAATTGGGGTTTCGGAAATTTTGACGGAAAGCATGACCTCCAAGATTGTTCTGATTATACCAGTCGGGTACTTGAAGTTTATATGTTTATTTGTTATTGTTTCACTTAAATCATGTGCAACAAACACGATAATAACTCTTTTAAAATAAACTTTGTTCCAAAATGAACAGATTAGTTTTGCTTTAACTGATGATGTGGTTGGTTTCAAGAACATTGTCCTTTTTAACAAAGTAATTTAAGAATATTTGCCATTTAAATGAAGTTGCATGAGACCATACGTTACTAACCCATTAAGAGTCTCCTCAATTTAACCTGTGCCTTGCCATTTCTATCTACACTTACATTGCGAGGAGTCTGCAGTTAAGTAATCACGACATTTGGTTTTACATTTCTTAGAAACCTTAGAAACTAAAGTGAGATGTGTTTGTCCCCATTAGGTTGTGTAGTATAACATTACAGTTTCAAAGTTAAAACTTCATTTTTTTCTTGAAAATAAATGGGTAAATTCATAAAATATTTATAAATATTATGTTATGACATGAAACTTTGTGTGTAAAGGAATTTATGTTGCATCTACTTTGCAACATATGTTATATTTGGGATTACACTTTCTTAGTAAAGTACAGCTTCTAGTACTTTTTGGGTTGAGTCCCATCCGGGATTCGAACCCGCACCCTCAGAGTCAGGCACCTAATCGCCAGCACACAAAGTCAGACGCCTAGACCGCTCAGCCACCGCGGCATCCACAAAAATGGTAGTCGGACAACTGGTAGTCTAGACTGCGGACTATGTGTACCCCTCTGATAAGTGTTAATTGGCACAGCTCCCATGGCCGAAAGCTATGAAATACACAATGCCATTTTAGAAAGTGGTCAAATCTGTACTTTACTAAGAAAGTGTAATCCCAAATATAACAAATGTTACATTTGACCACTTTCTAAAATGGCATTGTGTATTTCATCTACTTTGCAGATAAATAACATTGCTGAAGTTAAAAACAGATGATTAATTTTGAACCAACAATGGAGAGAACCGTATAAAATACAAAGGCCAAAATACAAGAAATCCTTTATTGAGTTCAACCCTGCAGAACAGCTAATATACATTGACCCTGAAATCAGCATTTCAGTCGTCCATTCAAATTTTTTTAATTGGATGGTCCAATTAGATAAAAAACAAATCCTTACCTACCCACCCGAAAGATATTTTTTTTAATGACAACCCAACTTCCTGCTGTTATGCTCAGCTGATGACTATGTCAACTTAGGTCGACCTGTTGCTATTCTTTCATTATTGACATTGTCCCTGCTGGAAATGTGTCTCAAACTAATAGGCCACAACACCTGCTGAATAATCAGGCTACAGCTGTCAGTTGGGTCACGGTAACATTCTTGTGATGGTGCTGCAAATCAGGCTGGGTGAAGTGTTGTTCAAGAGATCACAATTGCATCAGTGGTACAGAAAACTACTGACATGTATGTATAGAAATATCAAGGGTTTTCATATTCTAAACTTGTGTTTTCCGTTTTCTCGTTGAATTTCATCACATCTGTGGTACAGCATACACAGTGGTTATTGAGCATTCACTTGCTTGGAAATTTTACCATTTTGAAACCTCTGGGTATCAGCTCCAAATGAAATTTCGTTCTGTGGAACATTCACAAATCAGAAAATACATTTATCTCCTGAATAAATACTACTTTTTGATAGCTGCCATTGTGGCCATCTCATTCACATTTGAAACTACAATCTCTCACTGACAGTAATATATTAGTCTGATTGAGTAGTTCAAAACATTTATATTGATCAAGGAACTTTGTTACTTAAAATTTTGGGATTAACAGGTATACAAGTTTTCTATTTCCACTGATTAGCTTTTCACTATATTTAGTCTTCAGTTGTTATATTTAAGAACAGCTGTGTCATATTACCACATAATCAAAGCAGAATTCATTTTAGCAAAATTTCTTTTTGTGCATATCAGTGTGTTAACAATCAGGTTTTGAGCTGGGGAGAATCTCCGTGTGAGAAATTATGTTTTGTGTGACCTTTTCAGCTGCTTCCTTACCTATCAAACATGTTACATGGCAAAAGTATATAATTCTACCTATTCATAATCATTTTCCACATGCAAACTAATTACATCAAGAAAACACAAAAGTGAGTGAGTGAGTTTAGTTTTACGCCGCACTCAGCAATATTCCATATATATGGCGGTGGTCTGTAAATAATCAAGTCTGGACCAGACAATCCAGTGATCAACTGCATGAGTATCGATCTGCGCAATTGGGAACCGATGACATGGCAAACAAGTCAGCAAACCTTACCACCCGATCCCGTTAGTCACCTCTTATGACAAGCATGGGTTACTGAAGATCAATATTCTAACCCGGACCTTCACGGGTAAAAAACACACAAGTGATAAGTCTTATCAATGTTTATTTACAAAATAGTCCATTTTTCATATATTTTTTTTACAAAGACACGTCACAATAAACTGGTCCGTCAATACACATGCTACATAATGGATGAGCACATGGTCATGTGTTTACTAGGTGAACACAAACAAAATGCCGAATGTGGATTCTATGAAAGTGATATAAAGTGTACAGCATTCCTGCCAGATGTTTTCCTTAAACTCAATCCACTTTCAAATTTTCATGCTTTTTCACGCTCACTCTAACAATCCCTAATATGGATCTACCCAAAATCTAAGAGTTTTGATCGAGTCAAGAGACTAATCTCACCTCCTATGACAGGTGACCAGTCTCTACTCACTATATTCTTGTCCTTGTCTGAATGATATACCAAGGGTATTTGTTTTATGGGAACAATTAAAGACACTATCAGTCACACAACCAGAGGCTTAAATATTGGTATCAATATCTTCACTGCTTGTTATATAATATTGAATTATAAATTGAATATATTTCATTAATAAAAGTATTTACTTTGATCATTATTTCAGTTTTATCTCAATTGCCAACTTGCAAGGTGGTGAATGTATACCACTTTCATGAAATTTCAGTTTTACCAAAGGCAGGCTGAAAGATACAGCTTTTGAGAAAGGGCAAGGGCTTACATTTTGAGAGTTTCAATGGTCATTTCTAGGACAAAAGAGGGGGTGCATTTTTGGCTTTCACCTCTGTGATCCGCCTATGAAAGGTATTGTGCAGGCAACCCCAGAAACAATCAGGGTAAACATGGATCTGACACCAAGACCATAGTTTTCTTGTATGCATAGGGCTGTACATTGTGTCGACCCCAAGGCAAGCACCACCCTACAGTTAGTGAATGCTCTCTTGTAGCGCAGTGGTCTGATTCTACCACTACGACAGTGTTAGGCATATTATCAAATTTGGACCACACAAACCAATGATAATGATGGAGGTCATATGTCTGCAGTAAATATATCAGCAGAGTGTATTTATACAACATAATTGCTATCTTTAGACAGCTTCTTCCACAGGCTTTGAGAACCACCGCCAGTCTTTGAGAACCACCGCCAGTTACCTAACTATTTTACCTTGGACTACATCAGGGTAATGCTTAATATGTACATATATTACATGTGTGGTTTCTGGGGCAAGATATCAACTTAGAGGCAATATGGCAAAAATTAAATAATTATAAAAAAAAAAAAATAGAGGAAATATGTCCTGAACAACGTGCACAGCTGGACAAACATTTGCATTAAGCACATCATATTATAGAAACTGCATGTTTTCAATATCATTTTCATTTGCATGTGTGCATGTAAGAGACAAGATAATGATTTGGTCGATATTTACTGGGAAAGGAGGAGCTGAACAAATATAAAATATTTAAAAACACAATTATGCCTGTCCATCCAGCAAATAATTAGAGGACTTTGTGTCCACCCACTTCTGGACCAAAGTATTTGGGTATTTAAAATCCCCTTCCCCACCCATCCACTCCATATCCAATATAGATGTCTGTTAGATTTGCACCAAGCAACAAGCATTTGCTGTCATACCTCACATATTGCAGCAAGCCATTTGGTTTCACACAAAATACTCATTGAATATATCTAAACTACTTTCTCCTAACCACCCTTCTAAAGATTGATACACTTCGAGATATACCAGTAAGTATGTCTGTGACTATATTGCCTGGGAGTATCCTAATCTAGGCCCTGTACCATAAAGCTTTCACAGCACTTCCAACAGTCGTAGAGATGGAATGATCTTAATTCATTCATTTTAACGCAGACTTAAACAGTTGTAGCACCAGCATGATCGTAATTCCTTCAATTGTACATAGACTTCCAACAGTCTAAGCGATGAGATGATTGTAATTCCCTTCTTTTTACATAGACGTCTGACAGTCTGGAGCTAAGATGATCATAATTCCCACACTTTTACAGAGACTTCTTAGAGTCCAAGTGCTAATATCACTATAATTTCCATACTTTTAGAAAGACTTAAGACAGTTGTAGTGCTAGGATTGCTTTGTGGAATGGAGCTCTAACACTGATACAGTTAACGAAACATATAACATGGCTGGTGTTATCACAATCTACAAAATGTCAACACCCGGAAACAATCACATCAATCTGGAAGCCATAGACAGCAATCAGTATCTCAATATTGAATACATCATGTACACACTTGCATACAAAACATCTCATTCACAATCAACTGCAGTGAGTGAAGAAATTAAATAAAAGTTAATATGTGTGACTATGTACATTGTGCGGGTAGTTAGAAATAAGACTAGAACATATAAAACAAGAAATCTAAGAATTTTTGTTAGATTGAATACATTTCAAGTGACTCTTTTCCCGAAGCAATTCCAAAATAGTCCATTCGTCCCTGTGTTATATATGTTCTGGTCACAACAACAGATGACCACACAAGGACACAAGTTCCCATAGTTACACCACCACACTTTCAAGATGGAGTTGCACGTAGAGCTTGCAAATCAAGAAAGGATTAATGGATGTCTGCTGGTCAGCATTCACTGGTAATAACGTATTGATAAACATTTTTTTAAGAGAAATATTCTTAATATCTGCATATTACAACCTGCCAAAACAAGGTTATTGATCAGTTGTGCCTGTAATATTGTGCGAGGTGTACTTTCCCTGCCGTCCTCAATACCACACGCCCAAGCCAAATAATTCATATCTCTTTTATTTTGATCACAGATGTTTGCATTCTGCACTTCACTTCATTTGATTACTGCATCAAAACAGTACTTAAACATCATCACATAATTACAACGTATACATTGGTGTGATAACTTTAGTCTTAGGCCTTAATCCTGTTTACACTGACACAGACAACCCAAAATTATTGGAACTAGACCTCAAAAATTAATTCTGAAATTTTAAATTGGCCAACTGTGTTTTACAGTTAGGAGAAAATTGATTCAAACCCAGAGATTTTATGACCACAGTTCCTGAGCATTGGTGAATAATAAGAATCTTTATTGTAACAAACAACACAATCAAATATCTCTCAATATATGGCCTAATACATCCTGCATTTATCACATCCCTAGCAGCAGTACTAATCTGGAAAATAGTTTTATCTTTAAAACCTGGTTTAAGGATCAATAATTGCCTGTGGACTGATTGTAAATAAGTAACTTAAGCATGTCAATAAATGACAGCATTGTCCGACAGACAAGTGAAAACTAGCAGATATCTCCCCCACAACTATTGCCGATGGTGGACTTTTAAACATATCTGAACACAACATTCCTTCTATAATTGAAAATGGCCCCCTGTCACCATGCACTTAGTTGGCTTCACATGCAACAGCTGATCACAGCAATATTGACTACACCCAATGTGGTCAATACATCACTACACAGACATACAGCTGGTTATGTAGCACCTTGTCAGTTGAGGTTGTAGTGCAATTTACAATCAATTCAGTGAAGGTTATTACTTGAAGACTAAGTGTTATACTACCGGTAATCAATTAGTTTGGACCAAAATACAAATGCTGGTTCACACTCTGTTTTGATCACATGAACATCCAGTCCCAATATTACCTTTCTATTAACGTGATTAATAGTTAAGGTGGCAGTGCTGAGAGATGAATGTCAAGAGGTCTTTGATGCTGTTTAGCATATAACTTAAAAAATATACTGTTGACTTGAGTCAAATTTAAATCGTAAAAGACTAACATAAAATGTCCATAAAAAATGCTTAGTGTAACATATTGACTGATTACTGTAATCTCGTAAAAGTCAGTATTTGGTATTTGCAAAATGCACGAAATGCACAAACAAAACAAAAGCAGAACCAGTAGTCACCATGTTTCCATACAGACATGGGATATAATTTCACATTTTATGAGCTTGTCTGCTATTTGCACTGTTCTAAGCAACGCACAAATTCACTGCGTCCAGAGGGACACACAATATTATTCATTGTACCCACAACACATCTCTGACTTTGCTAAATGTTTGGTTGTTTCTTTCAGAGCAGTTACGTGCATCATTTCATCCATCAGTCCACATGATCAATGATTCATTCCAGGCCCTAAAGAAATGATCAAAACACACAGTTCTTGAGACTGTTACTTCAGAAGACCCTCATATTGCCTGCAAGGACCTTTAAAAGTAATAACTGAGGGTCCCTGGGACACCCATGTCTGTGAGTAGAGGTAAAACCCTGTATTTGTGTGCTGTTTTTCAGGAAGTTTATAAAATATTGACTACTGACTGAAGATCCATTTACTGACTAATGACACCATCAGTTCTTGGGTTCTCTCCTTCATTGTTGGTCATGTTAATGATCTACAGTTATAGCAACTATTTTGCAAAAAAAAGAAAGAAATATGAATATAATATTTTTATAAGAAATTAATCTCATCAGCCATGTATACTTTGTTTCTGCCTCTAGGACCATTGGCTTCCTCCTATTGTCACTACATTATTACCACCGTGCCTTGTTGTTAATCCCCTTGATTCATACCTACATGTTGTTATTACTTAATCCCTGTTCATGTATATAAGTCTGTTCTGTGCTGTAGTACTTCACTCTTGCTTGACAACGGTATAAGAATCCATACCGAAACGTTGCATCATATATAATAAAAGAAGTTGTTATCCATAAACAATCTTACTTTCTTATTAGTCACCAACTTCTAAATGCCAATCAAACAGATCGTAATATTTTTATGTCTATATTTCATGTATTGGTCATAAACCAATCTGAACTTACTTTTCTCATTTGATAATACATTGCACACAACCGATATAATTATGTATGGTATATTGTGAGGAAGATCTGTACATATATATCACTGTATGTCATCGTATATGACACTATATTGTTCACTTCATATAGACTTCACTGTGAATGGTTCTTCAAAGGTGATGGTGTGCATGTCATTGGTGACAGCAGCCACATTGTCCAGCGATGCCCCCAACCCAGACAGGTGATGGAAGAACGATTCCTTCTCTACCTGAACAGTGAGATTGGTAATTCCCATTTCTCGGAAAAGTGACGTCACCTGCAAAGAAGATAAAGAGCATCATTGAGTGTAAAGAGCATGCTCTCTGTGTGACGTAACATAGATACACGCATTATTAAAAACAAGCAAAGTCAATGAACTGCCTAAGAAATAAGGTGAATATTATTCATATACTTGCGATATGGATCTTTTGACATCCAGTTGGACACTTGAGATACTCAACTGAAGCTAGTGATGAGGTATCCTAGCGATTAAAGCAATTGCTCATCACTTCAAAACAGGCTCAATTTGTATATCACTCAAGCTAACATATCCAGTATAAGGTAAGACGTTTTCCTACAACACATGTCTGTTACCAAACAACAGGCCCGTGAAGATCCGGGGTAGAATAGGTCTTCAGCAACCCATTCTTGGAATATAGCTGGAATATTGCTGAGTGCGGCGTAAAACTAAACTCACTCACTCACTCACCAAACAACATATCAACAACTTAGTCTTAATCTTAGCAGATAATCCTTTTCGAATGCATGTAACACTTATTCAGCATAAAGATATAATGGGTGTTGTCATGTCAGCTGCATTTTCCCTAGTTAACCTTGCTCATACCAACAAGTCCATTTTCATAATGAGGATGGGGTAGTGGACACAGGAGAGACCATTCCCAACTTCCTCTCCCAACATGTTTACAGAGGGTGAAGTGGTGTGGTCAGCTTATATGTCAAATCAGTGTAAGGCTCCACCTACCTGTGTAATTATCTTCTGTTCACTCTTGTCAGGGGCCACCTGAACATGCAGCATACCGATCACCTTTGATGATGTGTGCCACCAGAAGTATGGGCGTCGGTATGATATAACACCATCTATCGTCAAAATCTGTAAAACAAAATACAACAAACATAACATTCCATACAGAGATGTAGTGATATCTTAATGAATCCTTTATAATCATGTGTACATCCTGTATAAAGAGATGAGAGCTTTATTTATTTGCCCTGGGCAATGAAATAGGTGACCGTCTCAAATACTGGAAATCAATAATCAAATTTAAACTGAGTGTGCTGGTTTTGTAACAGTATTCAGGGTTTTACATGACAATGATTCCTGCGTATTTGATGCAACAATTTTGTGTAAACGACTCTCAAAATATAATTATACGAGTCAAGCTTGACGCTTTTATCGGTGGCCCTCACAATTTAGTTCAATAAAATCAATTTGATAAGGAAACAATGACATTGTTCGATCATAGTTTGACTTTTACAGAGCTGTCAGATTGTTCCAGAGAACTCAAGGCAGACAGTAATCCTGGCTGTTTGCATTGAACAATGCTGTAGTTTCATTTGGTGACTCCACCTGTGACATACACAGTTACATACTGAGAATCATTAACACAAAGAAATTTTAAATTTTCATGGCTCCCAAATATTGAAAATGAGTCCCAAAAATAAATATTGTGAGTCACCACCATTTTCAAAAGTCTGTGTAAAAGCCTGAGTATTCCAATGATATTACACTACTTAAATATTATCTGAAAGGAAAGCTTTGAGTCATGCAGGTCTTGGACATTTACCATTTTATTGAAACTTATGAACACTGGTATGTTGCTGACAAAATTAGAAACATAATTTAGGCGAACCAGGATTCAAGCCAACGATCATGATTCTGGCATGTCCAAGGACTGCAGCTTTGTACAGCTAATAGCAGTGAGTTAGATGGCTGCGCCACCCCTGTACCCTCTTAATCAGAGTGAGTGAGCATGGTTTTACACAGCAGAGAGTAATATTCAGCAATATCACGGAAAGGGACACCAGAAATGGACTTCACATATTGTACCCATGTGGGGAATCGAACCCGGGTCTTTGTGGTGACAAACAAATGCTTAACCATTAGGGATAAGGAACCATTATGACTTTCATGATGTTCATTTATCAATTCATACAAATACACTTGCAGTTAACTAATTGAGGAAGTATTTAGTTCTTGTGGTGATCGTGATAATGGTCTTTGTATGATTGTCTTACCTTTTGTAAAATATGTGTCAGATCTTTTTCCATATCGGTTGGAGTTCTTAGAAGTAAAACTGTTGTTGTATCTTTCAGTAAAGGCAAGACGCTCAATAATATCAGTGTAGCAATAAATAGTGAACAAATAGGGTCGGCCACATTCCAGCCAAAGTTCTCTATAATCAGCGTTGATATAATGACGCCAACACTTCCCATGGTGTCGGCCAACACATGCAGAAACACTCCTGAAACACAACATAAACAATGTCACCAAAATGATTTCATTACACAAGTACGTAACAAACATTCTCAAGTACAAGAGGCCTAAATATTGAGATGAGCGTATATCTCCAGTTTATTGTGTCAATCCTTCCTGAGATGTAGCATTGATTTCTGGTGTTTAGGGTGCAATAAACATGATAAACATGACAAATCTATAGGGCAGAGCCTGCAGGTGTCATTACTTCTACATATTCTTCTTTTTCATATTATTTTTCTCACCATATTTGGTGCCTGAATTACCAAACCTTCTGCTCACATCCATTGCAGATAACATACCCAGTTTTCAAAATCTACCTTGGTTGTGAAAGAAACTAGCTGTGTCAAGGGATTAACAAGTGATGAAATTCTGTTGTCAAAGAGGAAGCAATCCTGAATCCATCATTGGATGACATCCTTATGAAATCACACCAACATGATCTCAACACATAGCAATAATCCAGCAATATCACGGCAGGGAACACCAGAAATGGCCTTCACACATTGTACCCTTGTGGGGAATCAAACCTGGGTCTTCGGCGTGATGACCGAACGCTTTAACCACTAGGCTACCCCACCGCCCGGCCTTGGTGAGAACACAGTGTGTTAGTGAGTGGGTCATAATCAACCATCACAGCAGCAGTATTTCATATCATACATCATGTCAAATCATGACATTTGCCTTACATTTCCCTGATAATCTGAAATGTCTGCAAATCGTGTGATATATGTTACTTACCCTGCATGTTTGTATTACCCCCAAAGTGGGAGTGACCATGAGAGGTATGAGCCGGACTTCCATGGCTGTGTCCATGATCTCCCCATAAAGAATGGCTTTGTTCACATGGACTTGAACTTCCATGTGCATGGCCATGACTTCCATGATTGTGACCTTGACCCCCATGAGAATGACCATGACCTCCCCCATGTGCATGACCTCCACTGTGTGCATGACCTCCCCCTTGAGAGTGGCCATGACCTCCATGCCCATGACCATGGGAACTACTGAAGGCGAATATACCTATAAGATTTACTGCTAAACCAAGAACAGAAACTGTCTGCAAAACAAAAGAAAGGTATTTTATGGAAGGGTTATTCAAATATCAAACACCATACAATGGCTTAAATGCAGAATATTACAACTGTGTTACAGTTCTCATTAACTGGTACTTAGGATGAGCATGTGGACCAATTCTCAAATAGTGAAGCGGTTAAGGTCAAGTTTCCATTAAACATGTGTTTTTAATTACAAAAGCACAAAAGTTGGTCATCATTTCTGAAATAATTTCAGATATGGAGGTACATATTTTTATGTCCGTGTGCGCATGTGCAGTAGACAAAAACTGTTGTGCTGTTTTCAATGTTTCCTCTTACATTGTCAGCATACGCAATCATTACAAAACAATAATTTCACAATTAATTGCTTACAGGTACAGGAACAGAAGAGAAATACTTGATTTACATTAATTAAAAACATGCCCAAAATAAAATGCTCCTTCCATCAAAATTGGCAGGTAGCAGACAGCTTTTCGAATATGGAGTGCCATGACAAAAGAAGTATCTGACTGAAAATGCACATACTATTTTGCAAAAGTATTCCAGGACAATAATTCATAACTTTTTTGATATTTTTAACAATAAAATCTTTAAGTTATTAGACTCAAGGGCAAGTGTGGCAGATAATCCAGATTTGTCTTTCACAAGGGAGTAGTCATTATTTTATCTTTATTTTATTCCAGTAAACATCACTAAACCGCACTTTTATTATTTAATATTGTTTAAAAATCAATTAAATCATTCCAACTCCGTGACAAATTTGCCTAGTTCGAATTTACAAATGTCAAATAAAATATTTTCTGTACGTTTCCTTTAGAAATTACCATTTGAGCATAATTAAGTTTTGATGTTTTAGTTTTCAAGATGGTTGATGATAATACACTAAGTTTATGTTCATAAAATATTTTGTTAGAAATTGAAAACTCATGGTGACACATTAATCGTCTTCGCTTACAGACCCAAGGCAGTTATACTACAAATGACAAGTTACGATATTGAATATGGATTTCAAGCTCAAGGCCATAATGAAATATATCCATGAGCATTAATCGTGCAATAACCAACTTTTTTAAGATGAGAACAAAGACATATTTTGGTGCATATGCTTTGAAAACCAAACTTACACGGATTAAAATGGTAACTGTAACACATTTTACTCTGATTTCAACAAAATCAAAACTGAAATTGAAACATGATAACACATTACTGCAATCTGAGAAGAATACACAAAAACGTGAACATCAACAATGCTGGAAAGTATGGTTACAGAATTCGTACAGTTTTTAGACAATGGTTGTTGTGATTGTATGAACCACCACAGATTACCACACCAGTAGCCATTCCTCAGACTTATAACATCTGCCAGTCTCCTCCTCATACTGCCAATCAAGCATTGTATTTTTAGTATCTGATTCCTCTGCCATTCCCGATACAGTGTATGCCTCAATTCCTCACTTTGAACAGGATAAGATCCAGCTCGAAACATGGCATCTAACATAGTCCGAAAGATGTTCAATGAGGTATATATCAGGACTCCTTGTGGGCCATGGTAATGTTTCGATGGAATTGCTCTCTAACAGAACGATGACGGCACGAGACGGACTAGGGTTGGCATCCATGAATATATATGACGATAGGCAAAGTTAACAAAATGAGGCCCCATGGCTGTATCAGTACTTCCTGTAGAAAACATTGACCCTTGTGTTTCCCCAGTACTATCATGAGATCCAACTGTCAGCCATGCGGAACGCAACCCCACACCATTACTGATGGGTTCAGCTGCATAGATCATCTCTTGGTGATACGACGTCTGTATAGTGACAATGGTAGTGGGCAACGTGTAGACTGACTGACTGACTGAGTTTGGTTTTACGCCGCTTTTAGCAATATTCCAGCAACATCACGGCAGGGGACACCAGAAATGGGCTTCACACATTGTACCCATGTGGGGATTCGAACCTGGGTCTTCGGCGTGACGAGCCAACACTTTAACCATTAGGCTACCCCACCGCCCCACAACATGTAGAAGAAAGCAACATTCATGAGACCAATGAACCCTATGCCATTTCCTCAAGTTGCACTTCTGGAGTTTGCACCACACCAGGCGTCTCTGAATGTTCCAATCTGTGAGGAAGGGACGTCTGATCGAATGTACCCCAGACATCGCAGCCTCCTTCTGTTGGTAATGATGGATTGTGTGACTCCCACTCCCCATTGTAGTTCTGCGGCATGATTTATCATACTGATGTCTTGCCAGACGAATTTACACCCGTTCATCATGGTCATTGGTGTTCCTCAGTCTGCCGGTGGCCACGTGGTTCCTCGTAGGCCACAGGATTCTTTGTAAGTGGACTAACAGCCATGTGGTTAAAGCACCAATGTTACGACAGGACATCCCTGCATCATGCAATCCAATAACTTGCCATCATGTATTTTCAGAACGTCTGTGTCTTGCCTTGTCAAGTACTGCCGTCTCTTAAATCATTTCAGGAAATTGTAGCACATACTGCAATTTTGAAATGTATACACCACTTTGCTCGGGACCATCGCATCATGGGAAAATGGGACCCAGAGGAAAAGAGCAGTTTGAGACCTTTACAAAGGAAAGTCTGTGGACAGAACAAAGCCGAGTAACAGTTTGTGTCTTTTACCTATTATTTCAACTTTGATTGATTAAAAAAGCCGTAAAAAGGGTAAAGAAGAGCTGGAAAAAATAAAGAGTGACATGGAACTCTTATCAGAGTGTACATTAGTAAATTTAGAGTGTACATTAGTAGGTCGATGCCCATGCTGTTGATCACTTGATTGTCTGGTCCCGAGTCGATTATTTACACACCGCTTCCACATAACAGCAGGAAGCAGAAATATTGCTGTTTGTTAACAACAAACAAACCTTCTGCGCATGTGCAAAACGAAGTTATTTTGAGTGCCTCCATATCTGAAAATGTTCACTATGCATCAGTCAACAAATGTGCAAAGTTTTTATGCTTTTATCATTAAATGCACAATTCGTCCTCTTTAGCCGCTCCACTAAAAGGGAAGCAAATACTGTATCCACAAAAATTCACGTACAGACCTTCCACACAGTCTTCAGTCCACACTTTTATTTCACTGACAAACACACATAATGAACCTCTAGGTAACCACACAGCCCAGAGCCTTACCAATAATCTTGCTGTTTTGATCTCTGGTGGCTCAAATAGTCTTGTGACAGCCTCAGCAAATACAAATATAGAAATGATCACAAGGAAGAGGCCATTTATAAAACCAGACAGCACTTCCACCCGATCATATCTGAAATGAATAAAATAGAATGAATAAAAGTGCAAGTACACAATGTAAAACATAACACACTTCAAGTCCTTATTAGGGAATTACCTCCTCAAAATTTACAAATAATCACTAATATTATTTATTAGGTCAGTATGTGTTTATCGACTGTAAATCTCACCCGTATGAAAATATTCTCGTTGCCTTCCACCTGGACATGATGGCAGCATACAACCCCATGACAAGGGCCGAGCAGTCAAACAGCATATGGAAGCCATCAGATATTAGACCGAGACTGTTGGTCCACACGCCGTACAACAGCTCCACAAACGTGAACATCTGCAACACACCATCAGAAAACCACATACAGCACAAGCAAATACAACTGTAGCAACTACAAGAGAATGAATGTTTTACTCCATAGTTCACAATATGTTAGTGTGAAGACCATTCCTGGTGTCCCCCGCCGTGATATTGGTGAAATATTGCTAAAAATGGCATAAAACCATACTCACTCACTCACAATATGTTAAGTGTGATAATGATGATCATATAGTATCCCAACTGTGTACAGTGCACTCTGTCTGTAGACAGTAGTCCGAGGTACACAGATTTTAATGGAGTTATCTCCCTTTGACGAGCATACGATTGTGCATGAAACACATATTACATGAATAATGCATTATAAAGATCTCGAAACACTTACTGACAAAGTACATAACTACATTTGTACTCATTGAATCATTGATTATATTTATCGAGTTGGTTACAAGTGCCAATTCAGTACATTTGTATTCATTGAATGTTTTTTATCTTGGTCACTCAGACATTTTGACCTGATTTGATATCACACTGTGTCTGAAGGCCTCTTAAATGCATAGTGACATTGACACTGAGTTTACATGATCATCTCAATTATAGTTTACAAATTAGTGTTAATGGCATCAAAGGTAAATAAGCGTTCACCGCTAGACCAAGCGGTCTTGGCCAAACAGACTTCCTGCTCAGTAAATAAGACAAAATACACAAACCAATCAACGGATTGTTTATTCAAGGTTTATTGCCCAAGCGGACTTCCTGCTCAGTCCGGATTATAAAGCAATGTTTTTATGTGTAACTACCTTTTCGGGCTGACACTTTGGTCCGAAATCCGAAATAATGAGAGTCCGAGATACAGAGCTTTTTCATTATGACAACAAAGAAGGATTACGTCGGGACCGTAAGTTCAGTCCTGTTAATACAGCAATCCGAGAAAGACAGAGTCCGAGTTTGACAGAGTGCACTGTAGATGGATGCTCTGGATGTCCATCACTGGATTGTCTCAACTACTTACAAGGCAGGGCCATACAGCTGGACTATTAATATTGCGTGTGGTGTTAAACAACAGACCAACATATCATGGCTGCCCGTAATGGACAGACAGACCAGTGGTTGAAAGCATGATCACTTATCCATGTGGTGGCGTGTGGTCCTGTGCAAAGAGCTCAGGTTACAAACAGTTAAGCAACGTTGGTTTGACAAGGAAACAGTCTTTTTTTAACTGGATGGGTGACCAAACTCAAATTGTGTTTGGCACGTGACTTCCTGGCATTTCCCTGTTTTCTCAAATTTCAGATTTCAAAACTCCTGCCCCACAACAAGCACATGTGATACATGTGGTCTCACCTGAGACGAGCAGGTGAGTTTGTTCAATGAGTTTGTTCAAAATTGCCTCTGTTCACCCAGCAGAAAAAATGGGTGAAATATGTCGTGAGACTATTATCCTTCTAGCACCTAACAGGCAGCTTGGGTTATCCGAGGTAATAATGATCAGATTGTGCGCTTTGAGCAGGATATCTAGCCTGGAAAAGGTGTTATAAATATTCTCATTATTACTACATGAGGACACAGTTACAGCCTTCGAAGTTCTCCCTAGTCTGACTATTACATTGGGTATAATGGTACATCCTCTGTTTTCTGTGACTAATAACATTTTATCATTCTGAGCCAGTTCTCAGTGTTTCCCTTCTGCTATAAGTTGAATGAGTGAGTATGGTTTTACGCGTTTTTAGCAATATTCCAGCAGTATCACAGCTGGGGACACCAGAAAATGGCTTCACACATTGTACCCATTTGGGGAATGGAACCCAACTCATCAGCGTGATGAGCGAATTCTTCAACACCTAGGCTACCCCACCGCCCCCTACAAGTTGGAACGAAATAAAACAGGAAATGTAAACATAGTAAATGTTTTTCTCAATTTTGAAGAACTGACTGTAAACTCTGAGGACTTGTCAAATAATGTTAACACTCGTCCTTATGACCAGTCTAAACCGATGTTTCTACAATGACACAATCAGGTAGGCTGCACATCACTGGAACTCTCCAGTCTTCATCAGTGGTAAAGTCATGCAAACTGGGGATCAAGCTGAACTCCAGTGGAGAGCAAATAATCAACACCAGATGTAAGGCAGTGCTATATTCTGAACCTATACCATCTTTCCATACAACATTTAAGCATTAACCTAACACCTTAACCCCTCAGGCATAGCAAGGTTATTGTAACTTCTTTACTTTAACATGGAGATTAACAACAAATCAAACATTATAAAATACTTTGCACAAAATAGCAACAGGTATCAAAAACTAAATACAATTCAAAGTGATCTTTTCAACATATTACAGTGGTCACATATGAAACAAAACTGCTTGTTAAAGAATAATGTATAATAAACAATAAGCATGCTTCCTCTTTGACTGCAACCCACCAAGTTAATGCACAAAAAGTAGAAGATCTTGCGGGAGTTGGACTCCTCCAGAATCTGTCGAAGGCCATTTTTGAGAATGATGAAAACTGATTGTGACGTGCGATGGATGGCTTCCCCAGCAAAACTGTACAATGGAAGTCCGGATGGGGAATAACCAATGAAGTTGCCCTTGGCACTGCGGCTTGGAGACACCAGCAGCCATGTACCTGGTGGAACAACAGTAGAATCATCAGATCAAGTAAAATATGCCCAAATTTGTATTGTGTTTGTATAATTTGTATTGTTAATAGATCTTTTCTTAAACTCTAAAGCTGGTTTAGTGTTGGATGTCACTCCTATGCCAGCTCACACAGTCAGCTATATAGGTATACAGTATATATGTGATGGAAGACACCAAAGATGTGAGGACATCCCATTACATCACAAGCTTTTCAAGGATGAATGAAAAGAAAACACATTCAAACCTTGCACTTCAACAATTTTGTAAGCAATGCTCTTTACAAACATGGCAAATGAAATATTTTTCTCACTTGACCTCTAAGGGGACATTCCTAGATCTTTGTGTAGCAGTGGTGAGCACAAGATCTGATTTGAATGAGATTGGGTGAGAAAAGCCCAGACAAGTATCAACAGTCCTTGAGAATGCCAATGGGTGTTTTTCCCTCAACCCGCAACCTCAAACCAATCAGATTAAACACATACATATATCTGATAAACAATAAGTCAAAGTCCTTATTCACTAGAATGACATTAGCAAAGACATTAAATAACCACTTGCACACTTCTGGTAGAGTGACAAAGTTGTCCACAACAGGCAAGAGCTTAGCGTACAATCTGTAGTCCAGTGGCTATCATATATTGGTCAAGATCTCACTTAGGATGAGAGCCATGAGGCTGAAGACGACTCCCCCTGAGAGAACATGGTCCTCAGTGATGACTTCCTTCAGCTTGTGCATGGTGGTGATCTGGGCCATGTAGGGGTGGTTCCAGGTGGAACTGAGGAACAGCGCCCCCAGGGAGATGGCTGCAACACCATACAGAGCTGTCTTCTGTGGCTGCAGGTGGTTGATGGATACTGCCTCGATGTAGAAGTCAATCAGGAAGACGAACATGATCACCAGCAGTAGAGGAAATAACAGGTAGAGCCATGACTGTATGTCACTCTGGAAGTAGCATACAAACACAATATATCATGTTTTCAGACATGACTGTATGTCACTCTGGAAGTAGCATACAAACACAATATACTGCAGGTAGTCATGACTGTATGTCACTCTGGAAGTAGCATACAAACACAATATACTGCAGGTAGAGTCATGACTGTATGTCACTCTGGAAGTAGCATACAAACACTATATACTGCAGGTAGAGCCATGACTGTATGTCACTCTGGAAGTAGCATACAAACACAATATACTGCAGGTAGAGTCATGACTGTATGTCACTCTGGAAGTAGCATACAAACACTATATACTGCAGGTAGAGCCATGACTGTTTGTCACTCTGGAAGTAGCATACAAACACAATATACTGCAGGTAGAGCCATGACTGTATGTCACTCTGGAAGTAGCATACAAACACAATATACTGCAGGTAGAGTCATGACTGTATGTCACTCTGGAAGTAGCATACAAACACAATATACTGCAGGTAGAGCCATGACTGTATGTCACTCTGGAAGTAGCATACAAACACAATATACTGCAGGTAGAGTCATGACTGTATGTCACTCTGGAAGTAGCATACAAACACAATATACTGCAGGTAGAGCCATGACTGTATGTCACTCTGGAAGTAGCATACAAACACAATATACTGCAGGTAGAGCCATGACTGTATGTCACTCTAGAAGTAGCATACAAACACAATATACTGCAGGTAGAGCCATGACTGTATGTCACTCTAGAAGTAGCATACAAACACAATATACTGCAGGTAGAGCCATGACTGTATGTCACTCTGGAAGTAGCATACAAACACAATATACTGCAGGTAGAGCCATGACTGTATGTCACTCTGGAAGTAGCATACAAACACAATATACTGCAGGTAGAGCCATGACTGTATGTCACTCTAGAAGTAGCATACAAACACAATATACTGCAGGTAGAGCCATGACTGTATGTCACTCTAGAAGTAGCATACAAACACAATATACTGCAGGTAGAGCCATGACTGTATGTCACTCTGGAAGTAGCATACAAACACAATATACTGCAGGTAGAGCCATGACTGTATGTCACTCTAGAAGTAGCATACAAACACTATATACTGCAGGTAGAGCCATGACTGTATGTCACTCTGGAAGTAGCATACAAACACTATATACTGCAGGTAGTCACTGCATGTCACACTGGAAGTAACATACAAACACAATATACTGCAGGTAGAGCCATGACTGTATGTCACTCTGGAAGTAGCATACAAACACAATATACTGCAGGTAGAGCCATGACTGTATGTCACTCTGGAAGTAGCATACAAACATTATACATACAACAGGAAAACCCACGACTGTGTCTCATTCAAGTCTAGCTTTCCTTACACCTCTACTGTCCACTCTAACAGATACCCACCTCTCTTGTGAGGTATATGAAGGCTGCCCAGGGCCACAGCAGACCAGCTGATGCAAAGGTTGACAGAGCATGAAGACGTTTTGCACCACCCACTTCCACTGACAGTTTTTTTGCAGCTGCATTGTAGCCAACGTGAAGACACAACGTGATGAACAACAGCACCACTCCACCCTGTAACAAACCATAGTCTTGCACTGATGCATATAAGTTTGGGGCAACAAAGACATATATTTGTTTCTTTCAAACACTATATACTGCAGGTATATAGTGAACCAAGCCAGTGAATCTACTGCTGTCATTTGTAGCACTGTAAATATATCACCATCAAAGAAATGTACATCAACTGTGGTAAATTTTGTACCTAACTATTAAAAGACAAACAGCATATAATAACAATAACTCAATTATTAGATATATTTACAAAAGACAGGAAGATCTGGGTTACAATTGGTCTTCAACAACCCATGCTTGTAGTAAGAGGTGACTAATGGGATCAGGTGGTCAGGCCTGCTGACTTGTTTCATACAAGTCTTCGTATCCCAGTTGTACAGGTCGATGCTCATGATATCAGTCACTGGATTGTCTGGTCCAGTCATTATGTAGCTGGAACATTGCTGAGGGCAGCACTAGACAACAAACTTATAAGAAATGGCGTCAAAACTTTGGAAATGACAAACAGGAAGGGACTGACTTACTTTGTGATCTGACCATCCAACCAGATTTACAATGTGATAGAACACATGAGATATGAACGTCCCATGGATGTCTTCATGGTTGGCTGCAAGTACAACATGTCAGGAAATAACAAGTGGACAGTTTAAACAGTATCCCAGTTGCATCATCATTCATCATTAATATGACAGGAAAAAATGACATGAAGCAAATATTTACATCCTTGATAAGACACAAACACAAGATTTGTCTCAACAGACAAAGCATCAAAATGAGGACACAATGGGTATTGGAATGAGTTAACAGCAGAATCTTGTGTGACAAAGGGAGGCAACTCTGCAAACGCAACAACTAAGGTGAGATGAAATTGGATTTAATGTTGCATTTAAAAATATTTCGGTCATATGACGCCATGCATGGGTGTATGTGTGGTTGCTTGTACTAGCCCAGACTTAAGCTGGTTTTATAGTGCTAGCTCACTGAGATACCATGCCGCAGTGAAGCATGAATACCCCACTCAGACACATTATACTGACTCCGACCCGACCAGTCCTTGTTGTATCCATTAATACCGAGCGCTAGGCAGGGACCATCAAGAACCATATTTAACGTCTTTTGGTATGACGCGACCGTGGATCAAACCCGTGCAAACCACTACACCTTGGAGGTTGTCCACAACTAAGACTGATAAAGGTGACAGTAGTGTGTCAGTAAGGAACTCATGTGAGGTGAAAGGCCATAGATCATATTGTAAGGTGATATATTTTACACTAAACATATTGATGCTTATAACCCGCCATAAAGAAAACACAGGGGACGAATGAGACACATCAACAACACTGATTTCAGTATCATGTAGCACTACGTCATAACTAATTGTTATGTAATGATTGCATTAATTAAATGTAGGATAGATACATAATTAAGCTTGCACAGATTGAAACATACTTCAACGGTGACTATTAAGTATTAACATGACCTTACCATCATGTTCAGACATCATGTCAAGTTTTTCATCATGATCAAACAACAGAAGTGTAACCACGGCAACCAAGAAGAAAACAGCACCACGGGACTGAAACAGGAAAAACAGGAAGTTAAAAACTGACCCATATGATTGTGTATATTAGAAATATGCATGTGTAAATGAATTACACTGGTATTATTGTGGACATACAAGACATAACTTTTATTAAGTAGTGATGCAGCATGTTTTCATTTCCCTTGAATACTCCCCCCTCCCCCATATATCTCCCTCCCTCCCACCTACATGGAATCTCCAATAATTTATGTCAAGGGTCCTTACAAGAAATATTACGGTCCTGTAAAGAACTGTAGTGTACAATACTGTAAAATTGAATTACCATATTAATTACAGGACTTATATATTTGTTTCCAATAATTTGGTGCACTGATTTTTGTGCATTCTTCTTATTATAGTGTAATGGATGCACATTTCTGTATCTCGAAAGACCCTGCATCATAGTAAGGCAAATATTATCAGGTTTGTACTTGTCAACCGTAACAAACTTATCATACTAAACGTTACTATCTCATCTTTTTTCCATGCACGCAAATACCAAACGATGTCTGTAATTTGATACACCGCCACATCTGCATTCCTAGTCACATTCTTGTTGTTTTATTATACTTGTCAAAGATCATTCAGACATGCTAGAGGAATGCAAAGTACCAGGTATATATTTGTCAGTGTTAATGAACATCATCATGTACTCAAGTAACCATGGTAACAGTGAGCATTACAGCATCCCTCTTAGTTTTGCATCAAGTAACAAGAAAAGTGACAAACTTAAAGACCTCTTAATTTCACTCAAAATCTGTTTGCAACACAAATACTAGCCCAAAGCAAGCAGTAAATATAATGGAGTTAAGCTGTGTCTTTCAATCATGTACATATGTAACTCGTGTCTATTGTTACTGTGGACATTCCATCACCTTAGCAGGCCCTCCTCCATTGTTTGTGAAGAGAGCTGTAAACCCTGCGATGATCACAACATCACTGTGCTCGAACAGTAAGATGGTTCTGAAGCAGAGACACATACATTATAGTGAGTAAATGTGAGTCTAGCAGTATCATGACAGGGGGACACAAGAAAAATGTTTCAAATATTGTATCCTTAGGGGAACTTGAACTCAGCATGTCATCAACATGACATGAACACATTTACCACTGGGCTACCCAACATACAATATAAAGTAAGGGAAAATCTAGTCAGTGAGTCTATTTATAGACCCAGTGTGCTCGCATTTAAATTTAGTCATCTACAATGTTCACCTGAATTCTTATTTTGCAGGGTTACATGCTTATAAATATATAGTTGAAGATTGTCTCTTAAATATTTGATAAAATATCATCCATTTTTTATCATATTTTTTCAAATTCAGTTTACGTCAAGGACATTGTATTCACAGTTTACAACTAAAAAACAGATTTTCTTCATTTTAAACTTGTTTTCTAAGTGCCATTAAGTACCGGTATGTATGATGACGATTTGTTAGATTGCACTTGAACTTACATTACTAGAATGCTTCATAAATAATTGTAGTCTACGACTATAATAAATACTGTAATATTGTCTCACCTGAGTGGACCACACAAGGTGAGACCAAACATCCACAAGAAACCGATAAGACTGCCAACAAATGCATGTCTCACTATCCGGAAGAGCTGTAACAGTAAAAGGGTTCGAAGTGTACCACTTTAGAAGATGATGATGACAAGAGAAACTCTTGTCAATTTAAACCATTCTACTAACTGAAGGCTTTGTAAACCTTTCAAACCTACATGAATATCTAAATGGTTTGCATTATTTGTTGTTTAACACCACACTCAACAATATTTCAGCTTTGTACCATGCCCCGACTGCGGTCCTTTGATCTCAGCCGTGGTGTATTGTATAGTTACACCACGGGTTTGAGCGGCCTTCGACAGCAACTCTCTGATTGGTTCTTTACAATTTTAGCCAAGCCTTTGGGCTGCGCATATCCACGTCATACGTGGTTAGAACCTGCGTGAGAGTGCAGTTTGACAGTTCAGGACATGTTGCACATTAGTACGTCTTCAATACTGATAACTGGGTCAATCCCACTAACATGGTAGATTCAGTTTCGTAAATTATTTGTGACAGTATGCCCTCAACAATTCATCAACCAATCACCAGCAACCAGGCTATGGTGTATTTGGACCAAGCTCTTGTATTGTATTAGAATGAAGTACCTACTACATAGGATGGCAGTCAGTAAATAAGCAAATGGACCACACAATCCAATGATCAACATGATGAGCATTGATCTACGCAGTTGTTGGGATACAATCACATGTGTCAACCAAGTTATTTGCTGCTTATGATATGCATAGGTTGCTGAAGACCAATTTTAACTCGGATATTCACTGGTCGTATATTTAAATGTGTGAGAGCTTGTAGAAATGTAGAATGTGTTCATGTCAAGCAAGTAATATATAACTTCATTATTTCATACTCCTGATGTTATTTCTCTTTGTCACAATGTTCTCGTGGTTACCTGATTTTTTGTCAGTCTCCTGCCAGTGCTCAATGGCTTCTGAAGAAATAGCAGTGGTAAAGCAGTCCTGAAACAAATATGTAGACCAACTTAAGCTGGCGCCTATCAAGAAGACAGAACTGTTGTATGTACAATTATCATTAAACAGTGCAATACCTACAGACTCTATCCTGAAAATCTTCTATTAAAATTTCAGTTTTTTCTACGTATTGTAGCATGACAATATTATGTTTCATGGACCAAGAAACTGGTACTGATCTTGGCACTGGCTTAGCATGGTCAGTTTCTTGGATTCCAAAACATGATATTGGCTAAATTGTGGTCAATAATAATGTGATTATACATTAAAAACAAAACAAACCATTTCAATTTGAGTTTTTAATAACTGCTGCACCAAATGCTTTGCATTATACTGTTGCTGACAGAAAGAATTTGGCTTTTCATTCTGCACCAGGGTTTTTTCATGCAGGACCACTTTGGACTGCTGCATGGTGGGCAATACTGTGTTTTGAGGAAAGTCAAATGACTGTTTCTCAACCAATGAAAATACCTCATACCTCCCATTCATTGGTACTATAGACAATAACAGATAATAAGGATTATAAACGTGTTAACCATGTGTTTACCGTGCGTGTGCATTATGTTATACCCACTGCCCTCATCATGCTCATTGCCCAAGCTATGACTAGCGTCACCATTAAACTGAGCTATGACATCACATGATATACATAGAGAATACTACACAAGGTCTCATTACATATGAATTATATGAAACATGTGTCCTTCCTATGGTATCTGACCGAGTAAAAGCGAGGTCAGAAACCATAGGAAGGTCACGAATAATTCAGATTATTCTCACCCTTGTCACCGAAATCTTGGTATTTTAATTTATTACCCATGATGGTTTCATGTATTAAATTGACAAAATAGTGTATATTTTGTTATTGTTATGATTTCAAAACAATTCTTCAAAGAGGTTGGCGGAAGAATGTTGTATTTACCGTACACTCCTTGGTTGTCACACTTTAATGGCGTCGACTATTTTGTTTTGCCTCCTTGGTAACCGGCGTCACGATGCATGTCAGTTGTCATCGCCTCATTTGGAGATTTCGACTCATTAAACTACTCCGTAGCACCCCGTTTCGAAGTTTGCAGATGCTTCACTCGGCTACCATCACTGGTGGAAACTTTGCGTTTATGTTTTTCGACGCATATAATGTCTCAGTTCGACTCACAATTAAACAGCGATATGGCAACGTTCGCAATGATTACATTCCCACAATGAGCAATGAGTTGTAGAATGAATGAATTCACGTGTTTGTTATGACCGAAAAAGTAGTTCCGTCACAACATGACCTAAATGAGAGGTCATCGGTTATCCAATCAATCGTTAGAATCTCAGGTCAAGTCGTTACGACACAGGTCAACGTGATACGACACTCGTGAAATACTAGCTGAGTATGCAACTACCCATACGTTGACCACGTGGGTAATAAAGTCCTGGACTCCATAGTGTCTGAAAATTTACCACTACATTTGTGATCAATAATAGATAGTAACAAACTGACATTATTGCCTGGCCACTTGTTGTATATGTGGTTGAAATGTTTACAACCAAAGAAGTTCACTTTTTGGGTACTAGAATTAGTGGTCCCTTTATGCTTGTAATAACTGTAGTTTATAGTATTTATACTTACAAAATATTTGGGTACAGTAGAGTGAGAATTATATAATAACGGTACACAGAATATGTAGAATAAACACAAATAATATGATTAAGAAATTTACCATGTTTGCTGTCTAAAACATTAGCCACTAGTCTGCTGCCCAAGTCACATAAAATTCAGTTCAGTTATCTGACTTAATAACATAAAGAAATATCCACAAACGTAAACTGATCTTGTGTACTGAAAACCGTACCAAAATATACATACTATCCTTATCAAGCTTTCTGACATGGCTGAAGTGAAAATGATTATCCTGTTCAAGGAAGCAAAAACGGAATCTCCAGGAGTTGAACTTACCCCGCTTTCACAATGAAGAGGAACTGAACCACTGGAATCAGCTTCAGCAGATCATATGCCAGGAAGAGACCAACTGCACGTAGGAATTTGGAAAAGGCTAACAAGCCTACATACAGGGTTAAGCTGCAAACAAACACAGACTCATCATCATTCAGTCACATAAAGAATATCAGAAGACAAAACACTTCATATTTATATAATGTCGACTGATGATTTTCATGACTTGACTTACCAAAAGTATAAATACCACTAGCCAATACATGTTTGTAATAGTTCACATGGTAAAAGACAAAGAAAATAATTATCATTATAGGATATTTATCATGTTTATACAGCCCACATATCCACACAACTAGTACATGCTCAAGGCACTGGAGTGTTCCCTTGATCAACGGATGTCTTTTTTTCTGGCATTGTTTTAACCAACTGATGCAGCTTGTTATTGTTAAACGCAGCGAGTTATCACACAGACTCATCCTCACAAGGTACCCATTTGCAGCTGGGTGAACTGGGACACATAGTCACAGTATTTTGTCAAATGACACTGCACATTATTATACCTGCAACTAGGTGTCTGCACACGTGTTCGTGTGTTCATCTGGTCAATTACCAACGGATAAGTGGGTTCTTTTAAGTGTACAGGGTTGTGTACTGCATAGTGGGGGTTGTGACAACACTGAAAGAGCCTGCAAGTAATGGTAGCTCCAAGGTTTTTACACTCGGTCACATGTGGGTATCGATCCAAGCACCTTTCGCTTACTGGCACAGCACCTTAGACAGCTCGCCCACCTTGCCCCCGCTCGCCCATCTTGCCCCAAATAATAAGCATGATAGCATCATTACAAGCTGACCATAGTTGACATAGGCATTATTTATGACAGTTCAAAACCACAAATCATAAAAATGACGAACATACATTTTACAGTGATATTGTGACTATTACAGTACAGAAAAGAATAAATTATATTGAGGCCATTGTTGTGCTAATCAGGTTAATTATGTTCATATTGCACTGATTTGGTTATATTTTTTTTTATAATGCTGAAGTGCTACCCACTTCCAAATGCCTGTTACAATAATTATCATGGTTAGCGGTGTTAATGCCAGTGAACATGGTGAAGAATAACTAAGGAAACAACAATGTTTGAACATGTCAGTGTTCACATATACAAGATACTTTGTTGACAGACTATCATCAGTGTAGCCATAAGTTGTATATTTGATAATGTCATAGTAGAATGGAGAAATTAGATCTAATTATACCAGTTAAATATCTGAAGGCACCTCCATAAAACGTGGGCCATGTCAGATGAACCTTGAGCAGCCTGTGTCAGGCCACTCCAGTACTACAGGCTGCATCTAAACAACTTCCAGGTTTCTAAAATTAATCAGCTTCATTTAATTGCCATCTGTATTTACAAATTTCTACTGGTACAAATAAGAGCAACATAAAAGAGGATATTACAGTGGGAGGCGGTGTTTTCGTAGGCTGAACCAGTTCGTAGACGTGGTGGATTCATAGCCCAGACTGGTTCTTAGATGGTGATTTCGTAGACGTGTAGAATTGAATAATAGTATTTTGTGTTTGTACATGTAATCTTTGTCGGCGGATAGGACAAAATTAGTCTACTCATCATTATATTCCGATAAGAAGAAAATAATGAAATTGTTGAACAGTTTTCACTGTCATTTAGGTTGTCGGTGGATTAAAATAAATTAGTCTACTCATCGAAAACAGGTTACACTGAGTTGTTGTGAATGTTAATTAGGAAGTGGTGAGTTGTTTTGATATTTACAATACTGTGTGTATATTGAAGTGTTTTGTTAATTACTTTGTCGGTGACCCACCTTATCCTTCTTCTCTACTGCTACTTCCCTGCTGATCATGCGTAGTTGAATGTTGATAATTGATGTTTTTTTCATCACTGATCATACTTACCTGATATATTTTTTTTTTATTTCACAAAACTCAATTTAATATATTAGCGGCCTGGAAGTTGTCCTAAAGGCAGAAGAAATTGTCGGACCTGGCCCGCTGCGAAGCATGTTTTTTTTCATCACTGATCATACTTACCTAATATATTTTTTTTATTTCACATAACTCAAACACTCTTGGTTTACACTAAAGTCATAATATCGATTTTCATCATCAATGATGTTGAAGTTCACCCATTTTACTAACGTCTACGAATCCACCGCTCAATATGCCTACGAATCCACCGGATTTCCACGTCTACGAACCAGTCTGGTCTACGAATTCACCTACAGCCATTACAGTGATGGTACTGACTTTTGGATGCAGATTATCATAAGTGATGCCACAGCACTGAGCAGAAAGGCCTAGAAATGACAGATAGATCAAACTTTCTCAACAATACAATGGTGCAACTGTATTTTTGCAACTGGTTAGTTCCACTGATATATCAGGTTTGAATTTAAAAGCTTTGACATTGATTGGAAAATTCACCTGACATGATCCACTACTGACCTATGGAGGTGTCCACACGTTCATATACAGATTTAACGTATCTGAGTGAAAATCTGATTTTAATTAGATATACATATCTGTTACAAACATAGGTGAGGTGAGGTGAAATTGGGTTTTAAGTCGTGCTTGAGAATATTTCGCTCATATGACGACGTGCATGCGTGTGTGTGTATGTGCGGCTGCTTGTACTAGCCCAGACTGAAGCTGGTTTTATAGTGCTAGCCCACTGAGATACCATGCCGCAGTGAATCATTAATACCCCACTGAGACACATTATACTGACTCCGAGCCGACCAGTCCTTGTTGTACCCATTAATGCCGAGCGCCAGACAGGGACCAACAAGTACCACATTTTAACGTCTTTTGGTATGACGTGGTCGGGGATCGAACCCGCGACCTTCCGCTCTCCGGTGTTACAAACGTAGAGCTAGGTTACCTGTAGATCAACTACTCCTAGTTTAAAATTAGGAGACACATCTTCTGTGTTTCTATATTAAACATATTAAACCTAAAGGTGATATGATTTTTCTTCATCACAGCCTGCCACAGTGTGACAATGACTGAGAGCAGCTTGTAAATAATGAAAATCTAAGACAGCAATGTGATAATCTAATTCATTCAATACGAAAATAATACTTATGACAAACTTACCTTGAAGTGGAACTGTATATAGCTCGCCCTGACAGCATGTTTGACAATCAAATGACTCCTTGCTTACTCCTGAAAATGTTTTTCTACACAGATCGTTGAAGCTTTCACTTTATAGTTTTCTTAAGCTCTTTTGTGGTAATGGCATCGTTAGATGTTCTGCGTATGGTTTGTTTATTGTACTAAACAAACAAAATAGTCGACTCGCACAAATCTAAACATTACAATCAGTGCCACTGTCAATAACTCTGACAACAGCCGGCACTAAGGCCTCGCAGTAGCATCCCGGTAGTCTGTTTGAAAAATTAAGTTCGCGTTGTAAGTGCACGCATATCCATCCATGAAAATTATTTCAGTGAAGTTTCTTAAATCAATTACGCATCATACGTGTAAAACAAAAACTTCTTCGAAAGCCAGGCTGGCACTTTCATGCACCGGAAGGAAGCAGCAGACGGGATTCGGAGTCTGCGCAATTGAGTATGATTTATTCAAAAGTTAGAACTCCTCGCCGAAAAATGATTTTACTCACGAAACGACATTTATGTGCTCACATGATTTTGACGCAATTCCTGGCCGTGACATCTTTCATGTCGTTTCGCTTAAAGATGAATTTCTCTAGTTGAACTTGATTTGAAATTCGTTGACCAAATAAAACACGAACACGCAAACATATAAGATGCTCTTCTCTGTTCAATTTACCTGCAATAATGACACATTTCGTGGATAACAACTTCTTTTATTTCGTAAATGCGACGTTTCGATACAGATTCTAGTACAGTTAACGTCTCACGTATGAAAGTTCTTATCCATAAATTTATTATATTTCCCAACTTCTAAAATGCTAATATTCGATTAACCTATTGGGTACAATTTGTGAATCCCACAACAAAGTCCTTTAAAATGCACACAGTACAGCAAAATCTAATTGGTGAAATTAAAGTCATTCCTGTGCTTATACAACAGTCACCTTGATTACTATAGGCTACATAATGTCGGGGTATCTCCCATGTAGTAGAATATTCATATCGCACTCGTCAATCATCAGTCGCGGAGGAAAACGTAATAACTGATTACCATTAGATCCAGTGCCTCGGAAAATCCAACCACAAAAAAGCAAGTGGTGTGAAAAAAAAAAAGCCATGTCGAGTCCCAGAACAAGAGTCCCATGGAAACAAACATGCGACTGAAGTAATCGAAGCAGTCATAAAATATATGACGTGCACGCGTCAGATGACTATTCGGCAATGTATATTCATTTTTACGTGTATAAGCATTAAACCAACAATTAATGTTAGTGATTGTAATCATTACAATTGGACAGCTCATCTGTCACAAGAAGTAAGACTAATGCATGCGATTATCGAATGAAGGCATGCATAAACACAGGCCCTCGTATTTTTGTGAGGATTGACGATTAAAAAAATGAGATGAGCCCCGACTCGAAATGCTTCACATTACAATAAATCATGATTAAAGGGAACTTAAATGACCATTGACACTCTCGTGAAACGGGTAAAATTGCCCAACTTTCATAGCAAATATCACGTGTAAGCCAGGGCTTTTTTTTGTTAATGGTAGCTACGCCCCTGTCAGTTGTCTGCGGTTGGTTCAACGCCACACTCAGCAATATTTCAGCTATATTACGGCGGTCTGTAAATGATCGAGTCTGGACCACACAATCCAGTGACCAACATTAGTGAATCAAAACAACTAAGCAGCTTCCTTTAGTTCATAAAAGAATTCTGAAACTTTTCTAAAATTCCCTTTATCCCCTTAGGCTCTACCGCTTTCATTCCTAATCTTGACCATATAATTGGTCATTTGGATGCGTTCATTATGCCAGACGGGTAAATGCCGTGTGCTGTTTTAACTATTTGTAGGGTAACTAATTGTAGGGGGACTAGGGTGTATTTGAGTGTGTGTGTGTGTGTGTGTGTGTGTGTGTGTGTGTGTGTGTGTGTGTGTGTGTGTGTGTGTGTGTGTGTGTGTGTGTGTGTGTGTGTGTGTGTGTGTGTGTGTGTGTGTGTGTGTGTGTGTGTGTAACCACGTGAGAGATTCAGGCTGCTGAAAAACTAAAACGAAAAAACACACCACTGAACTGTCCCAGCTAACACCCCCACAACGGCAGCGGGCCCTGGGAATAATGCAGTCGACAGACAGTGCCCAGACTCCCCAAACCGTTGGTGTAGCAAATCGGTGACGTAGGTGAAACACCCGGATGAATCGGTCCTGAGCAGGAGTGGTCACTCTTGGTCTTCCACTTCCGGGACTATCTTACGCGTCGCCGATATAACTAAATTTGCGGCTATATAACCACCGGTATAGGTCCCCGATTCGTCAAACACAGTACAGTTATCACCTAACTGAAACTGATCTCTTAGGTCGTTTATAATCCCACAGAACCCACTAGAGCGAACATAAAAAAATGTACACAAACAAAACCTTACTGTGTGCACATTGAGCATGCATTGCGCATGGAAAGGCGCCTTATAAATGGACTATTATTATTATTATTATAGATAGAAACCAAACCATCCCGTAGTTCATCCCAACAATGTACCATATTTTATTTGTTACTTTGATGTAAAGTAAAACCACGCTATGTGATTATCTTTTGGTGTGCACGATACTGGTACAGAAAGCTTTTATGATGAGAGAGCTGGGAGGCACAGACTGGCGGTCGCATGATCACTTAAGTGAATAAGATTGCACTTTTAGCTAAGACTATTGAGGTGACCCTGTTCACTTCGGTTCAGCCTCATGAACAACAAGAAAAACGACACAAACATTACCCTAGGTTTTATGGAAACCACGTACGTCTGATGTTTACGACATGCATAATAACCGATAATTTGGAAAAGGCTGAGAAATAGGCCAAATGACAGTTCACATACCTCTGCTATAAGGGGTTTAAAATAAGATAGTAATTGTGTAGGTAATTTATTTATCGAAACGCACAAATGCCTTGATTCAAATCTTCAGCACCGAGGTCTTACAGGGGATACTAAAAACATTTGAATGTTCACCATGGATAGATAGATTGCCCTTTTAACATTGTCATTCATATATGACAAAATCACTCTTATAAATCATGATCGAAAGATTAACGAAAATGACATTGAAAATTGACAGGAATTGAAAACACTTCTTCACTAAATTATTGATAAAGTAAGCGAAATCAGCCTATTATCACACCGAGACGCATAAAAAATATAATCTACGTGTACATGTATATCGCAGGAAAACGCTAGCTGTAAATGTCGTCCGTTTGGTAAGTTGATATTGGGCATCGAGTGTTCCGGGTCCCATAATTTCTTCCGGAAATAATCCACTGATAAACGATGGGGAACGGCTAACTTGCTTTTTACTTGCGCATTGGCTAGACCCATGATGCGGTTCTTACTAAAGGCATCTATGCTTGCTAAACTATACTACTCAAAAAAAGAGAAGAAACGCATAGCCAGTATTTTTCCATGTAATGTTTCAAAAATGAATCATAAGTGTGTGTCTAATCGGTATGTCTATGCTGAACGTTCCCTCCAACCATTTCCGAGTTTGAATCCATGGCCACTGAAAACCTGTAGCCAAAACGCAAGCAAATATGTTTTTCTCAATAAAGGCAAGAAAGCATGAGTGCGATTTTTGCGCTTTCTTTTGCAATAAAAACCAGGAGGTCTGATTCTTTTAGCGACAGTTGACACATGTCATTTGTTACGTCCCACCTCTACTTCCAATGGAAAATACGTGTTCAACAGTGTTTTCTTGGGTGCATAAATATATGTCCATTTCAGCTATGCGTTTCTGTTTTTGAGTAGTATATTTTAGCCGTGCCTTATAGGTATTCTCTTCGTCGTTATATTTCTGGGTTTCTCGGACAGACAAGTCAGGTCTGGTCATAGGTCATACATAAAAAACAAGGTTTCCTAATGCATTAACACGTCTGCCTGTGTCTAGATTAACGAATATGCGTGTACTGAATAGCTTATGCGTGTACTGAATAGCCCTGTATTCCAATCGTTATCCTATATCCAGCATGTATGTATTCTAAATATTTGCGGGCGGTGGGGTAGCCTAGTGGTTAAAGCGTTGGCTCGTCACGCCGAAGACCCGGGTTCGAATCCCCACATGGGTACAATGTGTGAAGCCCATTTCTGGTGTCCCCGCCGTGATGTTGTCGGAATATTGCTAAAAGCGGCGTAAACCAAAACTCAGTCAGGCAGTCTAAATATTTGCACTATGTTGTATTATGGGCCAATGGCCTACATTACTGAAATAAAATGTCTGTCTGTCTGAATAGCTTATTGTGATTACATGCAATTCGATGATAGGTAGTTCAGTTTTTTACAGTTCCCACTGTAAGATACATCTAACCTATCATGAATTTAAGCATTGTGACTTACCTCCACTCAAATGCGGGCTTCAAAACCATCAGGCTACATATAGATATCTCAAAGGTTACATGATAGACGCGTATATATCCGGGTTTGACTTGGTCTTCACCAATCCATGATTGTTGTTAAAGGGGACGTACATTATCAGGTGGTCAGACTCATTAACCCTGTTCACACATGTCATCGTATCCCATTTGTCAAATGCGATGCCCATGGTGTAAATCTCTATATTGTCTGTTCGAGACTCCATTATTTACATACCGCCGTATGTACATACACTCTTCAAAAGAAGAAACTCACAGGTTATTTTCAGAATATTGGACTCATGTAGATGCGGCAAAAACAATACAAGTATACTATTTTTTTCCAAAACGTCATCTTTGTGTGATTATAAACAGATTCAGCGCCAAAATACAGCAATTTTAATATTTTCCCTTGTTTTAGAAGCGTTTGAAGAAATAGTCACCTGGTTTGAGAAGAATTTCCGACCAAACTATCAAGAATCGATTGCGTGAAGTGGGGATTTGACCAAGGAGCCCAGTTGTTGCCCCTCTTTTGAGAGACTTCCGGTGTCGTAGGGTAGGAACTGGAAATTCCGAAATTGGAGGCGTTTTGCCCCTAATTGCATTCGACAGCTCGACAGATTCGGGGAGCCAGAGTCATGGTGTGGGGTGCGATATTCAGCACACACACATCTGATTTAGTGATGGTTCAGGGAAATTTGACAGCAAATCGGTACATCAATGAAGTCCTTGCACGTCACATGCCTTGCACGTCACTTCCGATTATGGACCAACAGGGGGAGTTGTTCCAGCATGACAACGCTACTTCACATACAGCACGTGTCACGGTCCGCTACCTTGCCAATTCTAACGTCAATGTCTTGCCATGGCCTTCCCGATCACCAGATCTTAACCCGATAGAAAATCTATGGGATGAACTCGATCGACGGGTAGGTCAACGTCAAAACACGCCTCAGACACTTCCACAACTGGCCATCGCATTGCATGAAGAGTCGGGAAGAATTCCGCAAAAGATCCAGTCCGTGCCGAGCAAAGTACTGACTTTGACGCCGTATTGTGGACTCAAGTAAACAGGAACACAACAATAAGGGCTGCTGTTGTGTAGGCGCATTCTTTGTCTACATACGTGTGAATTTTCACATTTTTACCATTGAAATTAAATGAAATAATTGTTCTTAAACTAACGGAATAAATTCTTCTAAAATGGCTTATGCGTTTCTGGGTGAGGAGAATCTTGAAGCTGATGCGTTGTTTGGAGAGACTGAAGAACTGGGGAGATATGGTCAGATCGTTTCGTTCTTGAGGTGAGTCATGCTGCTGCATTTTGAATTCACTGTAGTTTTGACATGAGTGAGGCTGAGATGTTGAAACTGAGAGCGTTGGAATAGTCAAGAAAAGTGCAAGAGTTTGCATCATGAGTTTAGTTGCGGCTGTGTCTGGAAGATATCGTACCTTGCTGCTGTTGCCAATTTGGAAGAATCAGTCCTTTGAGAGTTGGATGACAGGCTGTCCCATGGACATGTTGCTCTGGAATGGTACCCCTAGGTTTCTGGCACTGGCTGACACCAGTACTTCACTGTCGCCGATTCTGACGCTGAGTGATGGTTGGAGTTTTTGAAGCTGCTTGTTTGATCCGAGAGTTAAGAATTAGCTTTTGCTGTCGTTCAACTTAAAGGTAGTTGAGCCATCCATGCTCTTATATCGGCAATACAAGCTTCCAGTTGTGTGACACCATGGTGGGCACGGACTGGTTCAATTCATGCGTATAGTTGGTTGTCATCCGCTTACAAGTGGAACTGGAAGACATAAATTCTTATGATGTCTCCCATCGGCAGAATGTAGACACTGAAAAAGAGCGGGGCCAGAACAGATCCTTGAGGTACTCCAGCAGACAGAGAACTTGCATCTGAAGCTGCAGAACCAACAGTCACATACTGTGTTTGATCTTGAAGATAACGGGGCTGCGGGGTAGCCTAGTGGTTAAAGCGTTCGCTCGTCACAACGAAGACCCGGGTTCGATTCCCCACATGGGTACAATGTGTGAAGCCCATTCCTGGTGTCCCCTGTCGTGATATTGCTGGAATATTGCTAAATGCGGCGTAAAACCATACTCACTCACTCACTCTTGAAGATAACTCTTGATCCATGAGAGTGCTGATCCAGTGATGCCGAGTCTGATCTCAAGTCTTGTGAATAGTATGGCTTGATCTACTGTGTCAAATGCAGACGAGAGATCTAGGTGCACAAACAGTGTTATGTTTTGGCAATCCATTGTTCTCAAAATGTCATTGTGGGTCCTCACTAGTGCTGTCTCAGGGCTGTTTAACTTCTATACGCTGACTGAAATGGTTCGGGTGAGTTGTTCTCATCAAAGTGTTGAATGAGCTGCTAAGATACTTTCCTCGATAGTTTCTGAGGTCAAGCTTAGATTGGAAACAGGCCTTTATCTTTTTTAGAATATTCCTATCCAAGTTAGGCTTTTTCAGCAGTGGTGTGTCTGCGGCTTTCTTGAAAGAGTCGGGCAGAGTACCAGATTCCAGAGAGGAGTTCTCAATATCCAAGAGTGGTTCTAGGGTACTATCCATGATTGACTTCAGCAGCCAAGTTTGAATGGTATTAAGAGAAGAGGATTTGTCTTAGACTTCTGAATCACATCCTTGAGATGATTCGAGCAAGTTGCCGTGAAGATGTTAAAAGGGTACCATAAAAAGGTCTTTCCACAAACTTATGTTCAAACTGAGCACGATTTATTTCAGGATGTCATGAATTTTCTCATAAAAGTAGCCAGAGAACTGTTGAGCCAGTTCCTTTAAGTCATTGTTCAGCTCTTCCAATATATCTACCATATCTAATGAATCTGCCTTTTCCAATAGCATCCGTTTGTTGACAAATCAATGTTTAGAACGGAAACAAAATTAAAATTTACAATTCAAATGTAAGAAATGAAACAATTCCCTTAAAGGACAGAAAGCAAGAGGAAATGATTCCATTATAGTTTGTACGCAAGTTTGGCATGTATAAGAAAAGATTGACACCTATAAGTTTGAAGTATTCATGAAGTATTCCAGGGCCATATACAGACACCATGATCAGCGTCCATTGAAACCAAATGAAATACACTGCAAATTTAAGATGTTCACAAATACTATAAATCCAAGTAAAACTGTGTGGGGATTGAAATAAGTGTTTCAGAACTTATATGTGTTGACCAGACATGGGGTAATTGTAATTTGTAATTGTAATTGCATGTAATTTGTAATTGAATGTTTAAAATGTAATTTGTAATTGTAATTTAATTAATTAATATCTCAATGTAATTGAATGTTTCAATTACTTTTTCAATTACATCAAATTACATCTCACTTTTATATTTTGGTGGTCATTAGGCAACCCTTGCAATTATATTCTGTACAATAAGGAGGACAAAGCAGTGTTTTTCAATAAGATGCTTGTTGTCGGTATATACTCTAGCAGGTGTTAAGTTTTGAAAGAGATTTGAATGTCTAAGCCTTTGTAACTATCACCATCTGCACATTTGTGAAACAAAGGGAATCAGTAACGCATGACTGAATGTAGGTTGGTATTTGAGGAAATGGGGGATTAACAGTACTATTAGTCAAGTTCCTATCAAAATGGCCTCTTTGTTTATTTCTCATAGGATATGATATTCATACACTTACTGAACTGTAGTCCTATTTTTATAATCATAAAGGTTAATAAGCCATAAATCCAAGTTGACAAATCCTTTAGTATGTTAATGTGGATTATGTCAGATAGAGAGACCGGCTGATTATATATTGTAATGTAGGCCTGTAATGATGTCATGATACAGTACACCTAAGGTAACAGTGGTGGACAAAGTGTTTTTTGCAACAAGAGATGATAGAGGTGTGTATTTGATAATAAGCCCAAAGAAATATGCAAAATACAAATTGGATCAAATAGGGTACATTGTAGATATAATCTAATTTTGCATTTCACTTTTTGATGACAAAAATATGAATAGGATTTAGTGACCACTGTTTACCAACATCGATATCTTGTTGATTAAAGGAATACAGAAATATATTTGTTTTGTTTTGGTTTTTTGTTTTTAACAAAGTAATTTGTAATGTAATTAATTACATTGGTAATGTAATTGTAATTTAATTAATTACATTTTAATTTAAGGTGTAATTGTATTTGTAATTGTAATTGAGGAAAATCAAAGTAATTGTAATTTAATTAATTACATTTCAAAGTAATTGAACCCATGTCTGGTGTTGACCAACTTTTGGATGCACCAAGCAACTTCAGTCCATGGCAGAAAGTATACATGAATTCACTGGATTGAGAAGACCAATGCGCAGTATCTCTAAGTCGGCATCATTGTGTTTCAGAGCAATGCTCCTGAGCCTGGGGTGATAATATAAACATAAAGACAATGACGTAAAAGTTCACATTTGTATGATGATTAGTTCACGGGAGGCAACGTAAAGTGGTCGAACCCGATTGCCACATGCTCTGAATTGAATAAGCAGTGAATATGTAAGCGTGTTAATTGAGCAAGTGTATACTTTGAACGACAGTTAGAAGCGCTGAACAAGAGTCAAAGATTTCTTAAATATCAACTTCTATATTTCTTAAACACGTCCTCCGACTTAATTCTCATTCTATCTTCACATGGAGGAGTAGGAATTAACTCCGAAACGTCATGTTTTACAAAACGAAAATTTAATTCCAACAAATCTTTGTGCATTGTACACTAGATGTGACATCAAATGGATGTTATTTCCAAAGTGTGTACATCTTCACGTTTTGAAAACATTGCAGGTGATATTTCACTAGATAGAATTTTACTACTCATGATTGTTACACAAAAACAAAAATAAAAAAAGATAGTGTATCAATGTATCAGTTCTTGACTTGTATCTGTAAACATACAAGAAAGCAGGGCTGACACATCTTCAATCAGTAAATAGTTTCCCGTTGAGAGGTTCCAGGACTGCACTAAAATCAGAAGAAGTAAAATCGATCACACGCATGCCGGAGATGGACTCGCGTTTTTCAATGATTCCCTTAAATATGTCCCGTATGTGCAGCATGTGGCAGAGAGTGTAGACACGTCTTGGTATCTGTATCCGGAGAATATGCTGGGATTTCGGATTTTCTCGTTCATTGCTCTCGTCAAGCTTCAAGATGTCATCCACCTGGCTACATCTGATGCCACCACTGACATACAAGGCACAATGAAGAGCAAAGGCGGGATACTGGCAAGTTGGGATATGTGGAAGACATTTTGCTCCATTTATGTATATTCCACATCCTATTGGGTCGATGACATGGACGCCGGCCTTCTTCAGAATATCTCCAAACATGCGAGAGTGCTTTCAACTCTATACTGTAGAAACTTATCATCAATGCCCTCCAGTAGGCCAATCGCCATGGCCTCCATTTCCCTCCCGGACAACCCACCATAGGTCTTGTATCCTTCTGTATAAAACATCCTGACTGATGCTTTGTTATAAACATCCTCCTTGTTTGTGGCAAGAAACCCTCCTGTGTTACACAGTCCATCCTTCTTGGCTGACACATAGACATGATCGAAATAGGAGAACATCTTCAGAGCGATGTCTTTACAGGGCATGTTCTTGTATTCCTTGTCACGTTTTTTGATGAAGTAAGCATTTTCTGCATAGCGACACCCATCCATGATCAATGGGACATCAAAGCTGTGACAAATCGTGGACAGGTCTTGAATATTTGCCATTGAGACTGGTTGGCCTGCCGGACTTGTACTGGCGACGACCAACACAACCATTGCACCTTCTGGACCCACTTTCTCCAGTTCCACCTTGAGCCTCTCACAGTCAATGTTCCCATTGAAGGATCTATCTGGACTTCCCTGGCATGGAAGATCAACAACATGTAAACCAGCAAGGTCAGCATTTCCACGTGTTGTAAGAAAAAGATTGTTGCTGAACACTGTCATTCCAGGCTTTGACAGAATGGACAATAACAGATGCTCCACCGCCCTTCCCTGGTGAGCGGGAAGCATGAACTGAAATCCCGTTAGCGATTTCACGCAGTCCTCTAACTTCTTGAAGCTGCGCGAGGAAAAGTAACCCTCGTCTGCCTGCATCATCGCTGCCCACTGATCTTGACTCAAGGCGCCGGTACCAGAATCAGTAGGTAAATCAAAGGTGACATGACGTCCTTCAACTTGGAATGGATTCCAACCACAGTCTTCCAATATTTTGATCCGCTCTTCCATAGTGAGTAATGTGAGGGGCTCTACCATCTTAATGCGGAACGGTTCCATGAAAGACATCTGTAATTACAAAATGTAATACTTTACTAACATAATAATGTCAAGAGCGACAACATAGCATTAGTACTTATCCATTGTAATGTTTTTTTAAGAAATAATAACCAGCGTAGAAATTCACTCACTGCTCATAGTACACCGGTTTGTATACATGGAAATGTATGAAGCGCCAGATTAGGATAAATCTGAGATATTCTTATACCACCCAAATTGTCCATGAGACAGAGCGTACAGTTTGCTCTGATTTGTCAAACTGTATCTTTATTGGTAAATATTTATGGCTATGATTGAGTTTGGACTGGATGTTCACGTATGGTTCCTGGATATATCGTTGGTCTCATATTTGAGGGGCAGTGAATAATTTAAAAACAAAGAAGCATCCAGGGATTTGACCCTTGGCAATGCAAATTACAGTCTATTTGCGAAAGGGATCACAACTGTGACACGCAGTGACCACTCCTGTTTCATGATTGGCTTGGCCTTTGGGTTGACCATTTTGAAGGTCCATGAGTTGGTCACTGAAGTACAAAGAAACAACATTTAGGCACTGCAGCCTTATAATCGTGAGCTTTTCTTGCCACATTAAATTTCCTTTTAGTGGTGCAGATCAGATCTTCCGTACTAAGGTTTCGTCAAAACACGAACGTTGGACAGTTTCTAAGACAGTCTTCTTTTTGACCTAAGGAGTGATCCTTTTTCGGCATGGTTGGAAACTGGGCTTTCATCATGTAATTCCTTGCCTCTAAAAATGACCAATTATCCAACTCCAGCTATGAAGTATGTGGTTAGTATACGAGTATATGGTGTGTATTTTTTCGCAGCGTCAACTTTGTTCGTATATCTTCACTGAGTGGTCTCTGGACAACCATGTATTACTATCAATGTTTGAGTCAGTTCATCACTATAACTGATACTAATGTCCGCATGACGTTAACAGTCATAACTAGACCACTGACGCCAGTAGCAAAGGTTGTGGTCAGAGGTGATTGAATGAGGCTATTTTCATGCTGTATGCGTGCGATCTTCACAGCAATTGCTTTCATACTATCTTATCTGTCATGCTTTAACATATGCTTTAACACGTGGGCGTGATGGGCGAGCTGGCTAAGGCGCCAGGCTAATAATCCAGCGAGCTTGAGGTGCCAGGATCGAGCCCACCTGTGACCGGGTGTAAAAACCTTGGAGTCAACTTTGTGTGCAGACTCTTTCAGTGTTGTCACAACTCCTAGTGTACAGTACACAACCCTTTGCACTTAAAAACTCACGAATCCGTTGGTATATGACTAGATGGTGGCCACACGAATACGTGCAAACACCTAGTTGCGGGTACAGCAACGTGCAGTGAACTTGGACAAAGTACTGTGGCTATGTGTCCCAGTCAACCCAGCTGTGAATGGTTACCTCGTAAGGATGGGAAAGCCACATTAACTCGGTGCGCCTTGTGGTGTATGCTCCCCCAAGGAGTTGAGATTGATAATAAGTGCCGTTGAGACTGACATCCTATGATCGAGGGAAAAACAAAGCGCCTGTGAGCAGCCTAGCTGGAACTCGGCGCTATATAAACAGATTATAATATAATAATTATAATAAATATACATAGCGCTGATATCACTTTTTGGAACCTGACGCTGGACTGATAGTTTGACCAGCCACATCGGGGCACACATGCGTCCATGTGCTTTAACTATAATAGTTGAGAGGAAAAACTATACTTTATTGTGCTACCCATGGTATGAAAAATATATTTTCGACTGTAGAAGTATTCATTTTCCGTAAGTATGTAGACAAATATAGACAAAATAAAACCAAATATAGATTGCAGTAACCCCAGAACTGTACGTGTACATTAACTGCCATTAATCTTCACGGTGAGTTTTCATTGAATATATTCCAGCGTGAGAGAAATTATGCTGACTCAGCTGGTTCTCCTGGTTTTCTATGCTTGCTCCTCGCTGTCCTGGGACCCGGATGCTGAATGAGTTGTTTCTTTCACCAAGCATGCTCAAGGCACTAACACATTATTACCCCGGAAAACCCAAGCTGCCTGTTTGGCGCTAGAAGGTTAACAGTCATATGACCTATTTCACCAGATACCCATTTTCTGCTGGGTGAACAGAGGAAATTTTGAACAAACTTACATGTATCATATGTCATATGGGGCAGGCCTGAAGTCCAAGAAACTCTCAGGACTCAAGCTGCCAACACGGTCACCCATCCGAGGACTCCCCACGCCCAACGTGGCTTAACTTCAACTGTTGTGACCTGAGCTCTATGCACAGGACCACACACCACCAGCATCTGCAGGGTCGTCAAGCGTGTCTTCAGCAACAGATGCTGACTGGAAGACGGTCTTCAAAGCTGGCGTCAGTAATGGAAAAGCTGAACTTCATATAAAATTGAACAAGGTGACACCTCTGACATTTGTAACCTTGCAAGGTAATTCCCACAGACCCACAACTGAATAAGGCACCTGTACTTGGTATTTCCCTCAACTCGAGTACGTATCTCTTGAGGAACTAGGAACTCTTGGTCATCAAGGGTGTGTCAGTCGTCTGGTGATAGACCTTGACTCAGTGAAGACGCTTGGGTCAATCAGAGTTCGATCCTGGCCAGGAGAAGAAACATACTACTCCAGGTTGATGACGTCTCTTGACATGAAAACCTAGCACACCATCAGCGATATTGACCCTAAACTCGTTAATGCTCAATAATACAGGATATATCCACCAGTGCAGGGTTGGTACGTTGCCGTTGAACACGACATCCAGGATAAAGATTGGGTTAAAAAAATTTGTCTGGGAACTTGATGCATTTGGCACTGATGGCAGCTGGGGTTCTTCTCCAGCACCTAAGCCGAATCCTGACGGATTCCATCAGATGTTTGGTGTTAATGGAATTTGGAGCTGGGGTCTTAAAAGACAGGTTCTACATCCAGGACAGGGGGCCTTTCTATACAACCAGGTTGCCTCTCGTGCCAGGAACTACTATCACATAGGGTGGGACATTGCGCTTCTTAGGGACAGTGTGGGTATGGCAACATGACACAAGGACATGAGACCAGTGCTAAGCCCTGGGTGAACGTGGACATGAAGTATGGTATTTGGGTAAAGGATAACTTGTCAATCGACGTCTCCATACTGTTTAAGGCTGATAAGTACCCGCCAAACTGATGAACCAACCCGGGGCAAGAGGCATATCAGTTTGGTAAGGATCTTGCTGCTCACTTCGGACCTAAGGGAAATGGTCTTGTCGCAGCAGCAGAAGTGGGAAATGAGACGTGGATTATCTCCACGATTTCTACGCAACCATTATTGAAGGAATGGCTGACGGTCTCAAAGATGGAGACCCAGGGATCACGGTCCTTCCTGTCGCACTTCAGTCATTTGACAAAACTGCTGAACACCCTCTATGGCATGCGAACTACATCGGAACAAGAGTGACGGAGGCAATCGCTCCCTATATTGATGTCCTGAATCAACATGTGTACAGCTTTGTAACGCTGTCAAATGGTACACGTATTATGTCCTACCCTGAAGATCATATGAGTGAGTTCAACGGCATGAAAAGCATGGTGCGATGGCCAGACGTGAACATGGCCCTGGGATTGCCCTGGAGCCGGCGAAACTTGTACCTACTCCAAGTGTGTGTCATCTGAGCGGGCGGCAAATGTGTACGGCGTCCGGGCTTTCTTGATCATGGCTAGAATGGGTCGGTACACGAAGGCTGTAGATATTGAAGTGTCTTGTTGACCTTTCCATTTGATATTATTGAGACTAAATGTTTGTGTATATATGTATATAAATATATATATATATACACACACACTCCCAATCAAAAGGTTCGACTCACTAGTGTAAATGTAGCCACTTACTTAGTTCAATAAATGATGAAACTCAGTGAAAATAGGTAATTTCTTAACTAAACTTCACACCAAAACGCAGCTGTTCACATGCACGAAATTTGCGCATGCTTTTCAGCAATTTGAAGCATGATGCAATTAATCTGTTTAAGGTCTGTAGTTGGTTCCCCCAAGTTAGTGGACAAATACATCTTCGACGTAACCAAATATATATACATACCATATAGTGAGTGCTTTAAGTGAGTCGAAACTTTTGATGGGGTAGTATACGTTGTGAAAACGTCCATTGTGTATTTGTGCATTACGGTATCACCTATATTAATGGCTGAATGAGTGAAATGTTACGCCGCTTTTAGCAATATTCCAGCAGTACCACGGCGAGGGACACCAGAAATGGGCTTAACACTTTGTACTCATCAGCCCAGGTCTTCGACGCTTTAACTACTAGGTGACCTCCCGCTTCCATTAAATAATGATAACCTGGTATTCGGGTACTTCTTGCTCCACAGATTCTGCTGTAATAGCTATTATAACTGAATCAGTCATTCAATATCTTGTGCACCCTCCTCGCGCGTCCAAGACAGAGGTGCACCTTGTTCTCATGCTCCCTATCAAGTTCATAAATCGCATTCCATTCCTCTACTAGAGCCCTGCGGAGTCCTGGGAGATCCACTGGTGCTGGGTGACGTGTGTACAAACGTCGATTGAATCCATCCCAGGCATGCTCCATTGGGTTGAGGTCTGGAGAGCATGCTGACCATTCCACCCTCTCTACACCTGGAGAGCATGCTGGCCATTCCATCCTCTCTACACCTGGAAAGCATGCTGACCATTCCATCCTCTCTACACCTGGAGAGCATGCTGGCGATTCCTACCTCTCTACACCTGGAGCGCATGCTGACCATTCCATCCTCTCTACACCTGGAGAGCATGCTGGCCATTCCATCCTCTCTACACCCGGAGAGCATGCTGGCCATTCCATCCTCTCTACACCTGGAGAGCATGCTGACCATTCCATCCTCTCTACACCTGGAAAGCATGCTGGCCATTCCATCCGCTCTACACCTGGAGAGCATGCTGGCCATTCCATCCGCTCTACACCTGGAGAGCATGCTGGCCATTCCATCCGCTCTACACCCTGCTG